TGTCTGGTCCATACTCGATTATTTACAGAGTGCGGCGTTAAACAACAAACAAACAAACAGTGTTTTCAGAGGTAAAGCACCACCTGTGATACTTGATTTGCGCCTTGCGGCATTGGCCTTTTTGGATATGACGTTTTGACAGAGTGTGATACTATTTGTGGCATATAAGTATTGAACGTAATTCGGGTTGGAGCCACCTCCATGATGTAAACAACGCTGCTGGGAAAAAGTTTTTCTCCCCAAATGGCCAAATGTCAAAAGTCGGGTGTGCCATGTCTCACTGCCGCTCTTCAAACTGTTGTTTCTGATCTTCTTGGAGAGGTGAGAATGATCAACGAGAAACACAACTGGATACTGACTGAATGGACTGGATGCTGACATGTGATGATCCAGTGGTGATTCCGTGAAGTGTAGCTTGATGAAAACTCTGTTGTTGGATGCTCCATCCAAACAAGTATAAAGTGTATGGAATCCCCAAGATTCCAAAGCTTGAACGACGTCCATAAAAATGGAAAAGATTAGTGGTCCAGTAGCTTGATTGGTGGGATAGTGGGCGACAAGAAATCGAAATCCTGTGAGACCATGAAACATCACCTTAAGGACATGATTAGCCATGGACTTGGATTGACTCTTCTTAACATGGTCTCCGGGGTAGAATAGGTCTTCAGCAACCCATGCTTGCCGTAAAAGGTGATTATGCTTGTCGTAAAAGGCGACCATCGGGATCGGGTGGTCAGGTTCGCTGACTTGGCTGATGCATGTCATCGATGCCAATTGCGTGGATCGATGCTCATGATATTAAGCCATGGATTGTCTGGTCCAGACTCGATTATTTACAGACCGCCGTCATATAGCTGGAATATTGCTGAGTGTGGCGTTAAACAACAAACCAACCAGCCAATCCTGATAAAATGTTGATTTCTGGGTCCAGTCACCTTGAGTCCTTCTGCGTATTTTTTTCACTTTTGGAAAAGCATTAGTAATGCATCTGCGGATTCTCCAAATATATAAACAAAATTATTCACAATTTGATCAGCTGGTATTGAGTTTTTGTCATCCTCAGTGTAAATTCTCATGTAACCTTTAAAGAATAAAAAGTGGGCTTTAATACATGCTTATCTGTCTAGATACATACAAAGTGAAAAATGTGAAAAGAAAATGATACCTATATTTCCTAGTGATTTCTTTCCTGAATGTAGGATATAGTATTTATGTTCAGTACTGAAAAGTGTCATGTCATATATTTCAGATTTTAGTATATATTTCTTGCTATTAATTATTTATACTTGTACTGAGAAATAGATGTTTCATGTAAATGTATTTTCTGATGGTAAGTATAAGTTCATATGATTTACTTTTAGAAGAGGGTCACCAAAAAAGGAAAAGCATTTGTGGTGTTCAGCTTAACAACTTATACACTTAATCAGGGAAGGTCATCATTTTTGGTACACTAGTTTTACACTACACTAATAAAATAAACATATACTATGTGACTAGTCCCAAATATTTGAATATTTCTAATAGAAACATATGTGATTCATAAAATCATTATTTTTTGCTTTAAAAAATGATAATTACGGGATATTCAGTGACATTGAAAACTGTTTCCCTCCCAAAATTGATATATGTATGTGCATTTTTGTAAATCTCAGTACAAATACTACAGTTATTTTTCGCTAGATGTCTTGTTTATCATTCACTGTCCTTTGCACTTTTACAAAACAATGAATTAATAATAATTGCATTGTTATTATTTTTGGGAAGTGGTTCTTACCAAGATATTTTCTCAGTGGCTGACATTTTTGGGGTTGACAAGGAAACTAAACATAATAATATATTTCTGCAAGCAGGCTTCTTATTGACAGTTTTGAAATTCCCACCCTTAATCACGTGCTAATATTATGATCCACTGTGATTCGAACCGAGTGCGAAATCTTGAATAAGAACCAAGATGGCGAGTGTCACTCCTTGTCTCTATGTATATAGAGGGTTGTGATTTTTTTCTATACGAATATATTATGCTATACACGCTGTCATCGAGTTCCTGTGCTCCGTGAATCGCGCGAAGATGCAAGTGCGATACTTTTAAGTTTTACTTGTGATTATCTGCAATTATGACATCGCCTTTGCCCGACGTGCGTCCGAAAAGGAAATCTGCCTGAAGCGAGCTCCCGGAAATCATGGAAGCTCTGAAACCTAGTCCTTGGTCAACAAAAGATGTCACCGAAGCGCTTCACCTAATTTCTAAAGAAGACGTGATTGACGCAGTAGCCAAAGCAACAAACCTCAAAGAAGAATGTTTCCATTCTAAAACGTTTGCAACTTGTAAAAAGGAGACGTGAGTTACAAAAAGAAGTTGAAAGTCTTACGAAAGAATTAACAACGGTAAATATTCCTGATGGTCACGTGACCGAGTCTTCCCGCCAGACCTTGGACCCACAGATCTTCAGCAACCCATGCTTGCCGTAAACGGCGACTATGCTTGTCGTAAGAGGCGATTAACGGGATCAGGTGGTTAGGCTCGGTGACTTGGTTGATACATGTCATCGAGCCAAATCGCGTGGATCGATGCTCATGATATCAATCACTGGATTGTCTGGTCCAGACTCGATTATTTACAGACCGCCGCCATATAGCTGGAATATTGCTGTGTTCGGCGGTAAACAACAAACAAACAAACCAACCATTTCATGATGTTGCGAGCAGCAACAGTGCCACAACTCTTCTGTGTGACAATCATCCAAACCCCCTGTCTTATATATCTTTATATCTGTTGTAAATTGTGCTTAGAGAAATGGTGGTACTCATGGCATATTGACTGGACACTCTTTCCGCAGAGGGGGTGCAGCATGGGCTTTTCAGCGAGGCCTCCCTGGTGAGGGTATCGAAGACATTGGCTTCTGGAAGAGTGACGCAAATTTGCGCTATTTGGATATAAACATGACTACCAAGTTACAAGCAATGTTTGCTTTCTCAAAGTCACTACCATTGGCATTGTAATTATGTGTTGCCTTTAATTTAGTTTGGCCAGCAGCTTGCATTAGTAAACTTCCTTCCCCTTTCAAGGTTTCTCCACCCCATGAATCGCGCTACCACACACCCCGTCCCAGGAGGCTTACTAGCAAGTGGCGGTTAGCATCAACACTTATCCAATGTAATGTATTTAATTCAACACTGGGAGATTATTTACAATTTATAGCTTTTGGCATATTGTAATATTTGGTCTTTGTCATTTGTGCATTTCGCTAATGCACATTAAAGTTTTTCTCCCAGTTATCAATTTTCTTTATTATTTAGTGTAGTTGTAAATTGAATTCATAACTTAGATTGTTAGTGGCTGTAATCTTCACTGGGGGTTGAAGTATCGTAAAACAATTGTCCCCCTGGGAAGGTACGTAAGTCCGGTATCATTCAAAGTATCTTTTCATTTTGCTGTGATTTTAATCGTAGCATTATTGTTGCTTTTAACTGTTTGGCTAATCTTTCTGATCATCGCCAGTAGCCCGAGGGATGGTGTAAATCCTGCTGGGGACCATGTAGGTAGCAGAAGTACCGTAAGTCCCCATGGTCCCTAGTATGGTGGCCGAACTTTGGTTGCTGGCGATCTACAGCCCGTTTTTATACTGTGTCGTCTGATATAATTTGATCATTTTATTGCTCTAAAATTAGTTTTTAAAATTATAATCTGTGATATATTGCTAATTGTTTTACTGTCCTTCGGCGACAGGTTTTTATATATAATTTAAATGTTTGACTTGATCAAGTCACGATATGGCTGAAATAGTGCCGATGGGACTTTAAATATTAACTCACTCACTCACTAGTGTAGTTGTATTTAAATGTCACTTTGTGGAACGTGACCCTGCATTCTCCCTCAGCGCTGACACACCACGGTATTACTGAAAAACCCTTCAAAGTGACGTTAAACCGAACACTCGTTTAATCACGTACCCATTAAATCGAAGTGGTATTTTAGAGTGAGTGAGTTGGGTTCAACACCGTTTTACCAGGGAGTGTCCACTAAAATAAGGTTGGTTGGTTGGTTGGTTGTTTAACGCCGCACTCAGCAATATTCCAGCTATATGACGGCGGTCTGTATTAATAATCGAGTCTGGACCAGACAATCCAGTGATTAATATCATGGGCATCCATGCACGCAATTGGAGAAAGCCTCGAGTAATGCAGGTCATAGACGTTTCCAACTTCAAGGAAATCACGAGAGGTCAGTATCCTTAGGGAGAGGTTCAGGGTGATGTTTCCGACTGGCAATGTGTTTTGACACATTACTTAAAGGTAGATAAGCCATGCTGGAAAGATTACCCAATACCCCAGTCGTAATCTTGGCTCAAATGAGCATCGGGTGGCAACGACATGTAATATGACTATTTGTGTGGTATCGCACACCAACTTCGCGCTTCATTGGTTGGTTGGTTGGTTGGTTTGTTGTTTAACGCCGCACACAGCAATATTCCAGCTATATGACGGCGGTCTGTAAATAATCGAGTCTGGTCCAGACAATCCAGTGATTAATATCATGAGCATCGATCCACGCAAGCATCGCCTTTTACGACAAGCATAGTCTCCTTTTACGTCAAGCATGGGTTGCTGAAGACCTATTCTACCCCGGATCTTCACGAGTCGCTTCATTAGTCACGTTACTAACCACTGATCTTCATGATCTGGGTTCGATGGTTTACGGGCTGAGGAGATATATCGCCGGAATATTAGTGTCCACTTTGACAATGAATTCATTTATTCTCTCCAGTGATCCAGTGATTGACAGCGTAACCACGGACCTACACAATTGGGATATGATGACATGCATAAACCAAGTCAGTGATTCGGACCACCCCTTTGCCGCTTCTTAACAACAACCATAAACACCAATTGTAGCCTGGATCTTCAAGGGCATGTCAATAAATGTCAAACGTTTGTCCCATTTGAAAAGTCTGTCGAACATCATGGTTAATCCTGTTCTACACTATACAACAAAACAAATGTACTAGTAGAAGCCTTTATTCCGCACCGGATGCTGGGTTATCCTGACGTATGAACCCATTTGTCAACAGCAGGATTCAGGTGGAGGTTGATGCGGGGATAGCTGTTGGCATACAAAATAGTGCAAACAGAATTGTCAAGGTATACATAAACCAAGCATCTCCTAACTCTGATATGGTCAAAGATGTCATATTTGGTTGATATATGCTGTATACATTCAGCTTAATTTGAAGTTTGGTTGTTTGTAAAAGAGAATACTGAATATTAAGAGACTTTACAAACACAATTAAAAAAATGCAGCAGATAAGAGCATAAGTAATTTTATAAATTAAAAAAATCATTTTGCAGAATGTCCTTTGAACTTTGAATGTTTTTATTTGTTTGACAAATTATTATATCCAGCATTTTCAGGAACATATTGATTTTTTTCAAAAGAGTCCATGAATGCCACGTAGGGTAGACGCTTTGTTGTACGTCAGCGTACACTCTCGAAATTACTCACTTTGTCCTTGATACAGGTCTTTTAAAATGTCATTGTAAATCTGAATAAAAAAACAAAGGAAGAGACTAGTACGAACTAAACGGTATATTTCACAACCTAATATTGCCTATGAGTTCTTAGGGGCATGGGTGACCCAGTCGTCTAAGACGCCGCGATACGCTGTGCAGAGTTGCGTCCATTGGACACCTCAGAAACCTATGATTGTGGGTTCGAATCCCGGTCCGCCCCGATTATGTTTCTAGGTTTGTCAGCACCATACCCGTGCTCGTTGGTTAAACCGAAGTGGTAAATGTCTAAGACCTGCATCACTTGAGGCTTTCCTCCAAAATTAAGCCGACACGCCGTGATACAACTGGAAAACTGTTAAAAGCGGCGTTAAACCCAACTCACTCACTCACTATGAGTTATATGCCTACTCGCTAAATCTTACACTGCTGTGTTGACACACGTTATGCACCATGTCTGATGGTACCACGTACACGGTCTGATAGTCCTGCACCATGGAATATATTTATTTTATGAAAACAAAATCTTGAAACGCATACAAAAGGAAGTCTAGCCAGCTCAAGCTAGCTCTATTTCACAATCAGCATGAGGAATTTTGTAAAATTATTTTTAGAGTCAAGAAGGATGTTGTGTAATATCAAAATTTCAGAGACTAAATGTTAGTCTAACGGTCACATTTCGTCACAGTAATCAATTCCTATAACGACCACCACCAATTCTACAACTGCTTGAGGGAAAGATGGCCCTGCCCTGTCGGCAAAGGCGCCACCACAATACAGCATGCCAGAAATCTATGTTTCCAGATTCACCCTGATTATCATACTTGGTCTGGCAGTTCCACACTTCTAACCGTTGGTTTCATCAAAGTGAAAAAAATATGTATGGCTGGTATCAGTCTGGGCATTCCACTCCGGCCCGTGATATAAATGTATCACTAATGATGAATGTGGTCTTAAACCAAACTCACACACTCAACACTTTGTGTGAAACAATTGCTAGCTGATATTGTACTCGTTGTTGCACTATTCCGGAAAGGGCGGTCGGGTAGCCTAGTGGTTAAAGCGTTCGCTCGTCACGCCGAAGACCCGGGTTCGATTCCCGACATGGGTACAATGTGTGAAGTCCATTTCTGGTGTCCCCCGCCGTGATATTGCTGGACTATTGCTAAAAGCGGCGTAAAATCAAACTCACTTACTCACTCACTATACCGGAAAAAAGTACAAATGGTTCATTACTTGAGAAACGCATCAGAAAACAGCATGCTAAACGCGGGAGATCATGCATGTAGATGTATGAAAAGAAAAACACCGGGTGTCTTACATGAACATCGGCTGTATATTTATCTAGAAATAATCATAAAGAATATAAGGTTTGTTTGCTGACAGAAGCAACCAAATCGGTGAGCTGAATGTGTATTTTTTGTTTGAGGCATCACATTATTTTGTCTGGAAGGAGTCAAACAATATTCTTTCACCAACAAACATCCAACATGTCCATCGAACGATTTTTGGGGGGTGGTAAAATCTGACAATAAATAAATTTGTAAAAATCTTTTACGGAAACAAATTATGTTTTTCAAAAAGAACTTACCCTCGTATATACGCTGATAAATTCTTGAATAGTGATAACACCGTTGTCTGAAAATAGAAAAAAACTGTACTTTAAACTTACAGTTACTGGAGTATGGTAAATAATAATTAGGCATTCTTTGATCATGTATCTTCTTATTTCTGGAGTCAGTCCCCATGGGTCCGAGTATAGTCGCCTAACTTTGGTTACTGGTAATCTATTTTCGTTTCGTTGGGCGATGAACCCAACTCACTCACTCACCAGTGCGGCGGTGTCATATTCTCATGAAACCTTAAAGCATCGCATCTACATACGGCTGCTTCTGTAAATACAGTCACAATGAATTTGACTCTAGATATATACTTACCGTTTGTGTCATACATCTTGAAGATCCCGTTCGTCTCTGATCGGTTGATGCTGTCGTCGTTGTCCTTGTCAATGAATTTAAAGACTTCCTTAGCAATGGCCGCTGTGACATTTGTGTTCTGAATGTACTCTTGGATTGACATCTCATGGTCATCTATGTGCAACAAACATACACCTTGAAGAGCGGATGGTCCGAACAAGAATGGATCACTCTCCATTTTATTTTAATGTCATGTGAATAATGTATCAAATATACCTACATAAACAAACAGAAACACACAGAAATAAACAGGCTTGTCGCAAATTATTATTTATCCATATTTCAGTATAGCTATTTAATGAAATACAAATATGTAAATATGCTTTTTGTTGTAACCTTGTGTGAAATATTAATTTATTGTCCGACATTGCCGATCCTCATGATCGTTGTAAGCAGAGGAAACTACAGAGAAGTGGTCCAGTCGGGGATACCCCAGGACAAGTAGTTCCGGTCAAACATTGTGTCCACGTCAAAAGGACCCGTGAAGTTTCCGGGGTAGAATAGGTCTTCAGCAACGCATGCTTGCCGTAAAAGGTGACTATGCTTGTCGTAAAAGGCGACTAACGGGATCGGGTGGTCAGGCCCGCTGACTGGTTGATGCATGTCATCGACCCCAATTGCGTAGATCGATGCCATGATATTAATCACTGGATTGTCTGGTCCAGACTCGATTATTTACAGACCGCCATCATATAGCTGAAATATTGCTGAGTGCGGCGTTAAACAAAAAAACAACCAACCACGTCAAAAGACGAAATTTACACTTTGTAAACGGCACTGTTTGAAGTTTGTTAAATCATGAACACGTCCTGCGAGCAACAAATAATCCAATCACATCACCGGAAATGCTTCAAACTTCAAAATACGAATGACCATAACTTTTTATTTACCTCCATCATTTATAATGTCTTAATTTTGGTATGCGTGATTTTGTACATTTTGAAATGTGAAAGATATAGTTATAATAACAATTCTTGCCTTTATTTGTTTATTTAATTGAATTATTTATTTTCATTTAGGTAGTGAAATTCACTCACTGTTGGTGTCGTACTTGTCAAAGACAGAATAAAACTCTGAAAGTTCCACCTGGCCGTTATTGTTCACGTCGAGAGAGTTAAAGGCAGTAGTGATGATTGCAGCCAGATCCAGAGTTGTCGCACTTCCGGGTGCTGGGGTCCTGAAAGATGAAACTGACTCCATCAGCAACAAGTGGGGAATGATGGTAAAAAAATCCTGATTTCACTAAGGCTGAATATATACAGCAGCAACAGCAGCAGTAGTAGTAGAAGTAGTAGTAGTAGTAGTAGTAGTAGTAGTAGTAGTAGAAATAGTAGTAGTAGCAGTAGTTTTTTTAATTGATCAATACTCGTCCAAAGAATATATATTTCAGTCAAATTGCTTTGTGTCCTATTTCTAAGGATGACTTCACGTTATCGGTAATTACCATATCACCATTAGTTAGCTCTTCCAACATAATGGAATGGCTACGGTGGACCTATCCACAGCCGGACACATCGAGGGAACAGCAAGGGAAGCACATTGCTTTGAGACATTCTCGGGAAATTCAATAATAATAATTGAATGTGCTTGAAGTAACTCACTTAACAGTTAACTCGTTTCGGCATTTCTCAACGGATGGCACCACGGTCAGAGACAGACGAATTGAAACACTTACGTAGGAGCGCCTAGCGCACTGGCCACGAGCATCAGCACAATAATACCCAGCATTCTGAATCATAGAATATCTATAATTAAAGGACAATCGCGGATACAGAACACATGTACTTTGTAGTAGTAGTAGTAGTAGTAGTAGTAGTAGTAGTAGTACAGGACAATCATGGACACGGAGTACATGTATTTTGGAGTAGTAGTGGTAGTAATAGTAGTAGTAGTAGTAGTAGTAGTAGTAATAGTATATAATTGTTCGCAACGTTAATCGTCATAACAATGTGGTTTCCGAAAGCAACGAATATGTACGTAGCACATATAAATCTGCATAAGAGTCGCAACGTAATGCTTTCCTTTCAAGATATCGTGAGATATGTATCTACTCATTCATTAATCCATATTTCTAGAGATATATTTGAGCATGATCACAAGGTAATACAGTTCAGTAAAGGGTAAACAGATCTACATGTACTTACATATATGTTCAGAGAATGTCTTCAGGAAACTAGAACGATGTCAACCCCTTGCAGACATTATATAGGTATGATTTGATAAGGTAGAGTTATTTTCGGAACAGAGGTTATAAAAATTAAACAGTCAGCAAGTTTTACAGTCAGCAATATTTCAGCTGTTTCAAGGTCACCTGTAAACAATAGTCTATCATTCACAAACCAGACAGACCATCCTTAAGTCACACACCGTCGAGGTCCGATGACATTAATATGTTTGTATTGCTCAGACTGGTGGGAAATCCTCTTAGAAGTGCATGATGTTTAATGTATTTACCGAGAAATCTAAATGTATTCTTTCAGATAAGGTTTTGTGGCGTTAAAGTGTGATGGCCAGAGACTATGGCAAATGCAATTTTGCCTAAAGTTAACAATTGTTACTTTCTTCATACATAATTGTTGGTCTTGACTCCGATCAGTAAAAGTGTGAAACGGTTTCGAGCTGAAACCGGTTTATTTGTGATGCATTTAAGGTAACGCCACATTTCTTCGAAAAGTGTGTGCTTCTTCCTTTAAGAAAAACGTAGGCAAAGTGATTGGTTTGTTAGTTTGTTTGTTGTTTAAGGCCGCACACAGCAATAAAACAGCTATATGATGGCGGTCTGCAAATAATCGAGCCTGGACTAGACAATCCAGTGATTAATATCATGAGCATCGATCCACGCGATTGGGATCGATGACATGCATCAACCAAGTCAGCGAGCCTGACCACCCAATCCCGTTAGTCGCCTCTTTCGACAATCACAGTCACCTTTTACGGCAAGCGTGGGTTGCTGAAGACTTATTCTACCCCGGATCTTCACGGGTCGCGTAAGAACTGTGGATCATACAGATACACTTCCCTTGTTCACATGACCAAATAATCCTTTTATGACGTCATGATCAATTATTGACGGATAATTTTCCAAAATGTTGCAATGTGAGGTCGCATTGCTTCAGCTGATAAATCAGCATTGAGAATCGATAAAATGCAAATGTGTAAGCAGTTATGACATTCGATCGTTCTACCTTTAATATAATATTAAATATTATGATAATATAATATGACATTATGTACGTGGTAACATATCTAAATGTTAACTTTCACACGACGCTGTTATGGGACAGTGAGATAAGATTGCATTATAACTAGCTGTTGACTGATGTGTTTTTTACATACATGTACGTGCGTGGCAGCCAACCCATCTGTTAGGTCTCATACTCTTCGAGTCAAATGTAAAAAATTCATTTCAGTCCACGTTTATTTGATAAGAATCTGACAGAGCTGAAACGTATCCTTGCATTCCTCGTGTCAATTACGCCTTTACAAAACAGCATACCCAGAGAAGCTTGACTTGTCTCGCTGAAGTATTATGGACGTTTAACAGCAATGTGAAATCCAACCAACATCCATTCCTATTTTCGTATATCAAACTATCTTTCAGAATTTTACAGGGCACCTAGTGTTTCGGGAAAATATGTCCAACAATGTTAGAAAGGGTTTTATGCATGGAAGCTTTACAACCACAGTTGTATGAAAATGATTATCTTTAACACCGCGTCGACAATGAGGGCAGTTGTTTTACCGGAAGAGGGACGCTTCCACACTGCGGGCTGTGGTTATACCGGAAGAGGGGGTGTCCACAAGGGCAGCAGTGGTTTTACCGGGAGAGGGACACCTTCACACGTGGGACAGCGGTTACAGTTATATGAAAATATTTTTCTTAACCACAGCATTATCTCTACACATGGGGGCAGTGGTAATACCTGTAGATGGTGTGTCCACACTGGTGACAGTTTTTTTACCAGGGGTGGGACACGTTCACACGTTGGACAGTGGTTATACTTTAAGACGTTTGCCTCTGCACATGGGGGTAGTGATTATACTGGAAGAGGGTTGCATCCGCACATGGGGCCAGTGGTTATACTGGAAGAGGGTCGCGTCCACACATGGGGGCAGTGATTATACTGGAAGAGGGTCGCGTCCAGACATGGGGCCAGTGATTATACTGGAAGAGGGTCGCGTCCACACATGGGGCCAGGGGTTATACTGGAAGAGGGTCGCGTCCACACATGGGGGCAGTGATTATACTGGAAGAGGGTCGCGTCCACACATGGGGGCAGTGGTTATACTGGAAGAGGGTCGCGTCCACACATGGGGCCAGTGGTTATACTGGAAGAGGGTCGCGTCCACACATGGGGGCAGTGGTTATACTGGAAGAGGGTCGCGTCCACACATGGGGCCAGTGGTTATACTGGAAGAGGGTCGCGTCCACACATGGGGGCAGTGGTTATACTGGAAGAGGGTTGCATCCGCACATGGGGCCAGTGGTTATAGTGGAAGAGGGTCGCGTCCACACATGGGGGCAGTGGTAATACCGGAAGAGGGGGGCGTCCATGTTGGCAGCAGTGGTTTTACCGAGGAAGGGACACCTTCACACTGGGGACAGTGGTTATACCCGTACCGGTGTCCACACTGGGAGCAATGATTATTCCCCTTATAGAATTATGCAATTCATCTCAAAATGATATCTTTACAATACAGTATTCGGAAGTCGATGAATTCATGAATGGATTAAGGACGTTTTACTGAACGGTTGTAAATGACAGTAAATGCATGATCTTCTTAAATTAAACGTGAATATTTACGATGTGTCTCAATCTCGTACCTCACAGAGCAGTGTTTTACGCTAAAATTCAAAGAAGGTAACGAAAACATGATTATCACATGGAAAGGAACTGCTGACACATTGTTTGAGGGGAGATAAGTTGGTGAGAAAAGGTGGGTTTTTGTGCTGTCCCTTTGCCATGTCAGTATCTGCTGTGTTGACTGGATTCTCGGATACCCCCTGATTATGATCACTTGTTGGACATGGTAGACTCAAATGAGTGTGAATGAGTTACAACTCGGCATTAATAAGTATTTCAGTTATACAACCCTAGCCTTAATGTTGCAGGAAGCTAAAGGTGATATAAAACTTAGATGTTTACCCGAAATCCACGAGCCTTTGGTGCTCACAAACCAAACATCCTTTAAATTTAAATCAACGCTACGCTAAAGGGACGTAACTATGAACTGTTAATGACAGCGCCTTTGACAAATGGGCAACTGGGCCAACTGTGGAAAGTGTGTTAGATTCTATTGGGTAATAATGCTTTCTACTTAAACTGTAAGTACAGTGTATAAATCACTTGACAATGTGGACAGAGCAGTCAACCTGATGACTGAACTGACCCAACAACCCAACACTTGCAATGACAGATTGTTTGTCCTTTGAAAATTCCAGGGACGATATGATCCCGCATACCAGTGCTTGCCGCTGTAAACCCAACCCTCGTTCACTCACGCACCCATACAATCTAAGTGGCATTTTAAAGTGAGTGAATTGGGTTCATCACCGTCATATCAGTGAGTGTCTGCAAAAATAAGAAGAAAGCCTCGAGTAATGCAGATCTTAGACGTTTCAAACTTCAAGGAAATCCAAGAGTGGTAAGTATCGTAAGGGAGGGGTTCAATGTGAGGTTTCCTTCTGCCAATATGGCAATGTGTTTTGACACATTACTTGAAGGTAGATCAGCCTTGTTGGAAAGATTACCCAATACAGTAAGCGTGTTTGTCGTAATCTTGGCTGAAATGAGCATCGGGTGGTTACGACATGTAAATATGGCTAATTGTGTGGTACCGCTACTTGTGTGGTTCGTTACTCATATTACTCATGGTGTGCATGGTCCAGGTTCGATGGTTTACAAGCTGGAATATTAGTTTCGCTTTGATTGCACCGTGAATTCACTCATTGTCTCCTTCCTCCCTTGATTTTGAGCAGCATATTAGCTACGCTACTTCGTCTGACGTACCAATTAGGGGGTACGGGTGGCACAGTCGTCTCAGGCGCCGCGATTGGCTGTGCAGAGTTGCGTCCATTGGGCACGCCAGAAACCTATGATTGTGGGTTCGAATCCCGGTTCGCCCCAATTATGTTTCGAGGTTTGTCAGCACCATACCCGTGCTCGTGGGTTTCACCGAAGTGGTAAACGTCTGAGACCTGCATCACTTGGGGCTTTTCTCCCACATTAAGCTGACACGCCGTGATATGACTGGAATACTGTTAAAATGCGATTTACAAACTAGCCTCAATGTTGAGATAGTGATATCAACGACATGTCAATACGGGTAACGTCCCTTGCCCATTTCTTTTAATCTTATCTCGGCGTTTGATTGATCGGTGAAATTTTACTGAAAATCAAGGGCAGGTAATTTCAGATTGCGAGGACAGCAGAATTGGATCTAGGGGTCAGTGAGGAGATATTGAGGATGGCTACATGACGGTAGTCTGAATGAATGACCAGAAGTCCAATGATTGACATCATTAGCATTGATCTACGCATGTGGATACGATGACATGCATCAACCAAGTCAGTGTATCTGACTACTACAAAGAAAGCATTTGCAGCCTCTAAACAACCATCTTCCCGAGGCAAGAGAGTTAACTGACTATAAAAATCCAGTTTTCCCCCTTGCCGAACTAGATTGGTATAATGGAGTTACATTTTAGCTGGACAGATGAGTCTATGCATAGTCCAATCCAAACTGTCGTGCAGATTTTGGTCGATTGCAGGATTTGCAAAGCATGTGCACCGACAACTCGTTGTCAGCAGATATTTCCCAAATCATTTCATGTTTTAACTCAAACGTCCTGACTGGGCGCCGCCATTTTGTTTGAAGCAAATGCAAGTGATACGAGAGTCGGAATCTGATTGTTCAATAGGATAGGCTTAGAAGGGACATAACTACTAATAGCCACCAGTGGCGCTACAATCTAGCCCAGGAATACCAGCCTTGTTCGGCAAGGGTGGAAACTGGACTTTAAAAGTCAGTTAACTCTCTTGCCTCAGGAAGATGTTAAACAACAAACATGGGTTGGTGAACACCAATTCTAACCCAGATCATCCCGGGGTGTCAAAGAATATCAAACGTTTGTCCCATGCGTATATTCTTACATATAAATCATGGTTAATCCTGTTCTTCATATACAAAAAAAACAAAATAAATGAACCAGTAGAAGCCTTTATTACGCACAGGATGTTTGTTTATCCTGAAGCGTGAGCCCATTTGTCCACAGCAAGATTTAGGTTGATGCTGTTGATGCGGGGATAGCTGTTAGGATACAAATTAGTGTTAACAGAATTGTCAAGGCATATATGAACTAAGCATTCCCTAATCCTGATATCGTCAAAGATTTTAGTTTTAGATTGATTAAAATCCATGCTGTAAGCGTTTAGGTTGACTTGTCGTTTGGTTAGTAATAGAGAATAGCGGAATATTTGACTTCCCAATCACTTTTGAAAGGATGAGCGACAGAATTATTGTTTATGGACTGGTCATATATCATACGGGAGGGGTGAGATTAAGGGGTGTCATGAAAAAATGACATAGCGAAAAAGTGGGGATCGCCAAAATTCATCACAAGTGTAAGGAGGTGGCATAAAAAAATGTCACAGTTGTATTTTCTCGAATAACAGAAAAATAGAATAATTAACTAAAACACATTATTTTCAAAATGTCCAGTGAACGTTATTTGTTTGATAACACGAGAACACGCTATTTCCAGCACTTTCGGGAACATATTGATATTTTCCAAAAGACTCCAAAATATCTCGTCGAATACATTCTTCATCCTACGTAAGTGTAAACTCTGTCATTACTCACCTTGTCATTGAGACAGGTTTTTTGCGACTATATCCATAATCTGAATAAAACAGCAAAAAAGAGGCAAAGAAGAGTCTTGTACAAACTAAATGAGGTTTTTTTCCACACACTAATTTTGCCTATGTCAAAGGCACAGAGTTAAATGTGTCGCGAGTCAGTTACTCGTCAAATCCGACACTGCTCTATTGACAATCCATTACACACCATATATGGCTTTCACCAAAGTGCTAAACTTACAAAACCTCACTTCAGCGCTTCGAGCTATTCCCAGACCCTCATTACCATTACCGCCAATGCTACTACATCCTGTGGCAAAGATGACCCTGTCCACTGAGGCGCCATCACAATCACAATCCAACGTTCAAATTGCAGAATAACCCTGATTATGATTCCTGGTCTGGCAGTTCCATACTCCTGCTTGTTCGTTTCACCAAAACGGAAAATGTCAATGGCTTGTATAACTTCGGGCATTTCATTCTCATCATACACACACGCCGTGATATAAATAGCAATAATGTTAAAAGATGTGTAAACCAAAGTCACACACTCAAAGACTAATTATCTATGAAATAATTGTTCATTGGCGGACTTCTCCGCACAAAATACAAATGGTTCACTCCTTGAGAAACACAACAGAAAACAGGATGCTGGACACGAGAGATCATACATCCAAATGTAGGGAAAAACCCGGCTGTCTTATACGAACATCGGCTGTAAATTTATTTAGATTAATTCATAAAGAATATAAAGTGTGTTTGTTGACACAGAAACGGGCCAAAACAGTGAACTTAATGTCTACTTTTGTTTGAGGCAAGATATTGGTTTTCTTTAACCCACAACATCCAATATATCCATTAATTTGTTCAATCAGTTTCGAGAACAAACTATGCTATTAAAAAAGAACTCACCTTCAAATATCCCCTAATAAATTCTGGAAGAGTAACAATACCGTCCTCTGGAAATAGAAAAACTATATGATTAACTAACTGTTACTGGAATGTGGTAAATAATATGTAGGCATGCATTCTGTGTCTGTGTCTGTGTGTGTGTGTGGCTGTGTGTCTGTGTGTGTGTGTGGCTGTGTGGCTGTGTGGCTGTGTGTGTGTGTGTGTGTGTGTGTGTGTGTGTGTGTGTGGCTGTGTGTGTGTGTGGCTGTGTGTGTGTGTGTGTGGCTGTGTGTATGTGTGGCTGTGTGTGTGTGTGTGTGTGTGTGGCTGCTTGTACTAGTCCGGAATAATGCCGATTTTATAGTGCTAGCCCACTGAGATACCATGCCGCAGTTTAACATGACTACCCCACTCAGACACAGTATACGGACTCAGAGCCGACAAGTCCTTGTTTTAGCCCCTTAATGCGGAGCGCCAGGAAGGGTAACAGCAAGTACCATCTTTTAACGTCTTTTGATATGACGCGGCCGGTTATCCAATCCCGGACCTTCCTTTTTCCGGGCGGACGCCAGGAGTATAGTAAATAACATGCATTGTGTAGTGTATTTCCAGTGTGATTAGCTCTTTACTAAATAGTACGTGCTAGGAAGTACCTTTTGGCGTCATGACTGATTGTATGTACATCACCATGACTAGAATAAACCTGTGATCGTATTACCATTTCTTCGTGATTATCAATACGGAGATAGGTCTCAATGTGTAAACTACTAGGAAAACATCACACATTGATCACATTTCCTCTCACTGCTTAAGTAAGTCCCTATGTCCCTTGATGGTGGCCTGAGTTTAGTTGCTGACGATCTATTATTAGTTGTAAAACAGTCTGTTATAAGGTTCTCCAACTTGTTTTAAGTAAAGCTGTGATAATATATGGAGAATCAATACCAAACATATCGATGGCAGGTGTGGTGAAGAAGTGATCCTTTGGATGGCCTGTTAAACAACATTTGGCGAAAACGAACTTGCAAATACATAAGCTGCTTGAATGCTATTTCCAGAAGGCCACATCAATGTTAACATGCCTCCACATATTCCCATTCAGATGCCATTACCTTCAGTTTCGTTCAGTCGTACATTTGAATCTGCTTTTGATAGATATTTCCTATTATTATGGAATGGTTTTGTCGCTCTTTTATCATCAACTTCACTGTCACCTTGATCTAATACTCATATATTCACGATATGACTTCAAGTGAGACCTTGACATAATTGATCAATATCTCATATTAAAGGGAAAAAAGAAGACATGCATGACATATGCCTGACATATCCGCGTGGTTCAGAAACAAATTGGGGGCACGGATGGTCCAGTTAACTATGGCGCCGAATTCGCTGTACAGAATTGCGTCTCTTGAGCACGCAAGAAACCTATGATTGTGGTTTCGAATCCCGATTCGCCCCGATTATGTTTCTAGGTTTGTCAGCATTTGTCAGTTTGTTACCCAAAGTAAATGTCTGAGTCATGCACACTTTGGAGCTTTCCTCCAACATGGAGCTGACATACCGGAATTATGTTAAAAGCGGCGTTAAACCCAACTCACTCACTCAAGTCATGTTCTCACAAAACCTTGAAGCATCCCATTTGCATACGGCTTCTTCAGTAAATACAGGTGTCGCAGGTAAAGTTTTACTAATCTGTTAATCAATTATGTCACCAACTTTTTTCCATATCTATCTAATATTGGCTTGAACAGCCCACCTTTAACTGTGGTCTGTGAGGTACATCCTGGGCCCTGGCACATGCAGTCCCTGCAAATGATGTAGAGGCAGATCACATGACTGTCCTCTATAAAGACTGCATGTGTTAGAAACCCAGCACACACCATGCCGGACCAGCAAGCCACATAACATGTCATTTTGTTATTATTACAGGTATGTTGAATGAGTTGCGTGAATGCTCTTTTAATATTTTTTTATCTAAATTGAAATAGGTTAATTCTTCATGTGTGAATTATATTAGTCTAGATAATTGTTTAATTATTGAAATGAATATCAATAATATAGTAGTTAAAAACAACTACATGGTCAGTGTGAGGACACACCATGCCGGACCACCAAGCCACATAACATGTCATTTTGTTATAATTACAGGACTCTTCATCATCAATAAAACATCAGCCCAGAGCACGAACTTTGTTGTTCCTGTGACATTATGGCGCCCAACGTGGGGCTGATGTAGGGAGGAAGACCTGTGGCTTGTGTGGCCGTGACGTCATCGTATCCGTGTGGTTGTAGTCACGGCAGCTGCAGACTCCGCATGGATGGAGCTATTCTTTTCTCGTGCTGAGATATTCAGTTGGATGTGGTAGGGCCCGCACCCCATGGGGAAATTATGATTGACATCGCCGGCATCATGTGTACACTCGCGTTATTGGTTGTTGTTGGGTTTTTTTTCCTTTTTGTTCCAGGACAATAACTTTCTGTTCACCGAATTCGCTGAGGTGCAAGTGACTCTTCGTTGTTGGGATTTTTTATACTTTTCATTGTGTTTACTTGACATTGTGATGTCAGCATGTGACTTTGCATTACCTTTGCTTGATATTTTTGTCAGCATGTGACATTGTTCTAGTCGGCAAAGTGAAGATTGCATTTGTGTATGTTCATTCTTGATTATGAACCTAGCATGGCCATTTGAAATGTTTGTTGTTCGATTTTGTTATTTTCTCCAACATGAAACTGGCATACCGGAACTCTGTTAAAAGCGGCGTTAAACCCAACTCACTGAAGTTACATTCTCACAAAACCTTGAAGCATCTCATTTGCATACGGCTTCTTCAGTAAATACAGTTACAATACTTACTGTTGCCGTCGTAGAGCCTGTAGAGTCTGATCATCTCTGCTCGGCTTGCGCTGCCGTCATGGTCCGTGTCAAGGAATTTGTAGAGTGCCTGAGTAAAGGTCTTGGTGGCATGTCTGAACTGAACGTACTCTTGGATTGACATCTCATTGTCATCTACGGGCAACAAACATACACCTTGTACAGCGGATGGTCCGTACTAGACTGGAACAATCTCCATTTTATTGTTTTATCATGTAAACAATGTATTAAATAACCTTAAACAAGTGAATGCACACAAATATTGAAAATTTGTTCCAAAGTGTTAGAAAATGTTTCCAGAAGTGCTCAGTCATTCGGAACACACGGGGGAAGTGAACACAAACATACACTCGGTTTTTCTTAATGGTGTAGGAAACAGGGACTGCTTCAGCTTTGATCCATACTTTTGGTTCGTACTTTAGTTGGGTTAAAGGTCCGTTGAACAATATTAATATTTAATGTGGAAGGAAAGCCAAAAGTAACTCAGGTTGAAGAATATTATCCCTCCGTTGAAACCAATGAGAACAGGATAGCATGTGTGCCAATAGCAACCGTTTTCGCTATGGACATACAACAGCAAGATATCGATTACATTCGGCAATCACATTTTTTGATTATATAAACTGCAAGAAACTATGCATACAGCAACCAGATTCTTGACACATACAGAAAATACAGAATGTTTATACTTACAGCAACCATATTATGTATGTGAACATCAATGAGACGGAATATACATAAAATAATCAGATTAATTGACATTTACAGATATGATATGCATGAAATAACACTCATTAATGTCATCACAATGATTTCATACTTTGATTTTGCAGCTATGAGTTCGATATGAATAAAACAAGCATTGATCGAACTTAGACCAGAGGAGGTACATTTGCCAATATCACAGCACTGGTTAAATAAATGAATGTCATATTCTGTTGGTGTTCTGGAGTATGCATGCTTTCAACTGTGCAAGTTAAAATCATGTGGACGCCGAAACTTGCCACAAGATGATAAATTCGTATTTTGAAGTTTAAAGAATGCCAAATTACTTTGACACACGTTTTACGTTACCAGTTCGATTGGAATGCAGTGACCCAATTGGTGGTATATTCTTCACACTTGCGCAAAACAAAGCAGTTACAGATCCATAAATAAAATCACAACTCATTATTAATCAACGAGTTACTATCAACACTTAATCAGTAATCACTTTAAAGCAACATGTTACTTGTAAGAGTTTTGTTTGATTTATAAGCATTAAATTAAAAAGAAACAATTGGCACATATACAATTGCGCATGACTAACATCCAAATGTGAGCTTGTATTTTCACTTTGAATCTGAAATTACAGTAACTGGCTATTACTCGTGTGATTATACTACTTGTTGGGCCTGCAATGTTTGACCTGAACTGGGACTGGGAGTACATTGGCAGTATAACCGAATTTTCTGATTCAACAGTTTCATCAGTGGAGGACTTTAAACGTTCTCAGGAGGTCGGCGCGACATTGTAGTTATACTGGAGGATGTACGGGGAAACTTGAAACAGGTTTGTCGCAAGTTGTCAGCTATTCAATATTTTGCTGAGTTCCTGTTTATATTACCGATCCTCACGATAGTGATAAACGACAATAGAGAATTGTTCCACTCGAGGATTCCCCATGAAAAGTAGTTACCTTCAGAAACTGTGTCAACGTCAAAAGGTGACATTTACACTTTTTAAAATTTGTTAAAACATAAACAGGTCATGTAAGCAGCAAATAAACCAATCACATCAAGGGAAATCCCTCAAACTTCAAGATAAGAACTTATACAGCTGTTTATTTACCTTCATCCCTTATATCCCGCAATTTTAATTTGGTATGTGTGATTTCGTCCATTTTTAAAATTTAAGGGTGTCTAAAGAATAACACTCATTCCAATTATTTATTTACTGAATATATTTATTGAATTAAAGCAGTGAAAGTCACTCACGGTTAGTGTCAGACTCGTCAAATGAAATTAAAAACTCTGAAACTTCCACATGGCCGTTTTTGTTCTTGTCAAGAACGTTGAAGGAAGAAGTGCCAGCAGCAATCAGATCCCGAGTTGTCGAACCTCCGGCTGGGGTGCTGAAAGATGAAATTGACACCATCAGCCGCAGGTGAGGAACAATGATTTAGTTTAAAGAAATAAATGCAAGTATAGTTTAATGTCGAAGATTGAACATGTCTTGGAATAGTAAAATTGACCAAAAAAAGTTTTCCTTTGTTTCCCTTTTCTAAAGATGACTTCACTTTATTAGTAACTACCTGATCCTCATTTGTTAGCTCTTCCAACAGTATTGGCTGCTGTGGACCTGTTCAAAGCCGCTCACATATTTATAGAGGAACAGCAAGACAGGAATAGTGCTTTGATACATTCTGGGAAATTCATTAAGAATAATTGAATCTGCTTATTGTAGGTAATTTAACAGTAAACTCGTTCAGGCATTTCTCAACCGATGACACCACGGTCAGAGACAGACGAAGGGAAACACTTACGTAGGAGCGCCTAGCGCACTGGCCACGAGCATCAGAAGAATAACACCCAACATTCTGAATCAAAGAATACCTATAGGTATAGGACAATCGCATGTAGTAGTAGTAGTAGTAGTAGTAGTAGTAGTAGTAGTAGTAGTAGTAGTAGTTGCATATAATTGTTCGCAACGATACAAGGTGATTTCCGAAACCAACGGATATGTACGCGGCACATTTTGCTGGCATTATATTATTATTTCAATGTAAAATGGTCGAACATTGTCGCCAAATAATGCCTTTCTTTCAAGATATTGTGAGGTCTTTATCTGTACATTTATCAATCAATATCTCTAGAGATATATTTGAGCATGATGACAAGGTAATGCAGTTCAGTAAAAGGTAAATAGATCTACATGTACTTACATATATGTTCAGAGAATGTCTTCAGGAAACTAGAACGATGTCAACCCCTTGCAGACATTATATAGGTATGATTTGATAAGGTAGAGTTATTTTCGGAACAGAGGTTATAAAAATTGAACGAAATTGACATTTGGTCATGAAAACAAGTTTTTCAGACAGCAAAATTTCAGCTGTGTCATGGTGAACTGTTTTTACCGAGTAATTAAAATGTATTCTTTCAGATAAGGTTTTGTGGCGTTAAAGTGTGATGGCCAGAGACTATAGCTAATGCATCAACCAAGTCAGCGACCCTGACCACCCGATCCCGTTGGTCGCCTCTTACGACAAGCAGAGTCACCTTTTACGGCAAGCGTGGGTTGCTGAAGACTTATTCTACCCCGGATCTTCACGGGTCGCGAAGACCAGAGACACTTCCCTTGTTCACATGACCAAATAATCCATTTGTGACATTATGATCGATTATTGACGGATAATTTTCCACAATGTAGCAATGTGAGGTCACAGTGGCACAGTGGTTATACCGGAAGAGGGGGCGTCCACACTTGTGACAGTAGTTTAACCAGGAGAGGAACACGTTCACACGTGGGACAATGGTTATACTGGAAGAGGGTCGCGTCTACACATGGGGGCAGTGGATATACCGGAAGAGAGCGGCGTCGACATGGGCAGAGTGATTTTACCAGGGTAGAGACACCTTCACACAGGGGACAGTGGTTATACAGGAAGAGGGGGTGTCCACACTGGGAGCAATGATTATTCCCCTTATGGAATTCACCTGAAAAAAATATATCTTTACAATACAGTATTCATAAGTCGATGAACTAAAGAATGGATTAAGGACGTTTTACTGAACGGTAGTAAATGACAGCAAATGCATGATCTTTTTCAACGTGAATATTTACGATGTGTCTCAATCTCGTACCTCACAGAGCAGTGTTTTACGCTGAAATTGAAACAAGGTAACGAAAACATGATTATCATATGGAAAGGAACATTGTTTGAGAAGAGATAAGCCATGTTGGTGAGATTAGTTGTTTTGTTTGTGCTGTCCCTTTGCCATGTCAGTATCTGCTGTGTTGGTTGGATTCTCGGATACACCCTGATTATGATCATTTGTTGGACATGGTAGACTCAAATGATTGTGATTGAGTTACAACTCAGAATTAATAAGTATTTCAGTTATAACACCGTGCCTTAGTGTTGCAGGAAGCTAAAAGGGATATAAATCTTAGATGTTTACCCCATTAGTGAAATCCACGAGCCTATGGTGCTCACAAAACAAAAATCCTTTAAATTTCAATCAACGATCACTGGTTCCTGCTACGCTAAAGGGACGTAACTCTGCACTGTTAATGATTGCGCCTTAGACAAGTGGGCAACAGTAGGTACAGTGTATAAATGACAATATGTACAGAGTAGTTCAACCTGGTGACTGAACTGACCCAACAACCCAACACTTGCAAATACAGATTGTTTGTCCTTTAAATATTCCGGGGACGATATGGTTCCGCATACCAGTGCGTGTGGCATTTTAGAGTGAGTGAGTTGGGTTCAACACCGTCATATCAGGGAGTGTCTGCTAAAATAGGAAGAAAGACTCGAGTAATGCAGGTCTTAGACGTTTTAAAATTCAAGGAAGTCCACGAGAGGTCAGTATCCTAAGGCAGAGGTTCAGGGGGAGGTTTCCGTCTGCTAATATGGCAATGTGTTTTGACACATTACTTGAAGGTAGATCAGCCTTGTGGGAAAGATTACCCAATACAGTAAGCGTGTTTGTCGTAATCTTGGCTGAAATGAGCATCGGGTGGTTACGACATGTAAATATGGCTAATTGTGTGGTACCGCTACTTGTGTGGTTCGTTGCTCATATCACTCATGGTGTGCATGGTCCAGGTTCGATGGTTTACAGGCTGGAATATTAGTTTCGCTTTGATTGCACCGTGAATTCACACATTATCTCCTTCTTCCCTTGATTCTGAGCAGCCAATTTGCTACGCTACTTCGTCTGACGTACCAATTAGGGGGCATGGGTGGCACAGTCGTCTAAGGCGCCGCGATTCGCTGTGCAGAGTTGCGTCCATTGGGCACGCCAAAAAACTATGATTGTAGGTTCGAATCCCGGTTCGCCCTAATTATGTTTCGAGGTTTGTCAGCACCATACCCGTGCTCGTGGGTTTCATCGAAGTGGTAAACGACCTGCATCACCTGGGGCTTTTCTCCCACATTAAGCTGACACGCCGTGATATGACTGGAATACTGTTAAAATGCGATTTACAAACTAGCCTCAACGTACTGATAGTGATATCAACGACATGTCAATACGGGTTACGTCCCTTGCCCATTTCTTTTAATCTTATTTCGGCGTTTGATTGATCGGTAAAATTTTACTGAAAATCAAGGGCAGGTAATTTCAGATTGCGAGGACAGCAGAATTGGATCTAGGGGTCAGTGAGGAGATATTGAGGATGGCTACATGACGGTAGTCTGTAAATTCTGAAGTCGGACCAGAAGTCCAATGATTGACATCATTAGCATTGATCTACGCATGTGGATACGATGACATGCATCAACCAAGTCAGTGTATCTGACTACCACAAAGAAAGCATTTGCAGCCTCTTAACAACCATCTTCCCGAGGCAAGAGAGTTAACTGACTATAAAAGTCCAGTTTTCCCCCTTGCCGAACTTGATTGGTATAATGGAGTTACATTTTGGCTGGACAGATGAGTCTATGCATAGTCCAATCCAAATCGCGCAGCAAAATCGAAATCTGGTTCGTCAACTGTCGTGCAGATTTTGGTCGATTGCAGGATTTGCAAAGCATGTGCACCGACAACTCGTTGTAAGCAGATCTTTCCCAAATCATTTCATGTTTTTACTCAAGGTGCTCACATGAGTTGATGCATTTCGCGATGTAAGACCCGTTTAATCACAATATAGATCTTGATTATTAATCAGATCGTCCTGACTGGGCGCCGCCATTTCGTTTGAAGCAAATGCAAGTGATACGAGAGTCGAAATCTGATTGGTCAATGGGATAGGCTTAGAAGGGATATAACTGATAATAGCCACCAGTGGCGCTATAATCTAGCCCAGGAATACCAGCCTAGTTCGGCAAGGGTGGAAACTGGACTTTAAAAGTCAGTTAACTCTCCTGCCTCAGGAAGATGTTAAACAACAAGCATAGGTTGTTGAACACCAATTCTAACCCAGATCATTACGGGAGGTCAAAGATTATCAAACGTTTGTCCCATGCGTATATTATTACATATAAATCATGGTTAATCCTGTTCTTCATATACAAAAAAAACAAAATAAATAAACTATAGTAGAAACCTTTATTCCGCACAGGGTGTTGGTTTATCCTGAAGTAGGAGCCCATTTGTTCACAGCAAGATTCAGGTGGAGGCTGTTGATGCGGGAATAGCTGTTGGCATACAAATTACTGTTAACAGAATTGTCAAGATAAATATGAACTAAGCATTCCCTAATCCTGATATCGTCAAAGATTTTAGTTTTAGATTGATTCATGCTGTATGCGTTTAAGTTGACCTGTCGTTTGGTTAGTGATAGAGAATAGCGGAATATTTGACTTCTCAATCACTTTTGAAAGGATGAGCGACAGAATTATTGTTTATGGACTGGTCATATATCATACGGGAGGGGTGAGATTAAGGGGTGTCATGAAAAATTGACACAGCGAAAGATGGGGGATCGCCAAAATTCATCACAAGTGTAAGGAGGTGGCATGAAAAAATGTCACGGTTGTATTTTCTCGAATAACAGAAAAATAGAATAATTAACTAAAACACATTATTTTCAAAATGTCCAGTGAACGTTATTTGTTTGATAACACGAGAACACGCTATTTCCAGCACTTTCGGGAACATATTGATATTTTCCAAAAGACTCCAAAATATCACGTCGAATACATTCTTCGTCCTACGTAAGTGTAAACTCTGTCATTACTCACCTTGTCATTGAGACAGGTTTTTTGCAACTATATCCACCATCTGAATAAAACAGCAAAAAAAGAGTCTTGTACAAACTAAATGAGTTTTTTTTCACAAACTAATTTTGCCGATGTCAAAGGCACAGAGTCGCTAGTCAGTTACTCGCCAAATCCGACACTGATCTATTGACATCCATTACACACCATATTTTGCTTTCAACAAAGTGCTAAACTTATAAAACCTCACTTCAGCGCTTTGAGCTATTCCTGGACCATCATTACCATTACCGCCAATGCTACAACTTCCTGTGGCAAAGATGACCCTGTCCACTGAGGCGCCATCACAATTACAACCCAACGTTCAAATTGCAGAATAACCCTGATTATGATTTTTGGTCTGGCAGTTCCATACTCCTGCTTGTTGGTTTCACCAAAGACGTGTATATACGTCCGTGGTTTCCCCAAAACGGAAAATGTCAATGGCTTGTATAACTTCGGGCGTTTCATTCTCATTATACTCACACGCCGTGATATAAATAGCAATAATGTTAAAAGTTGTGTAAACCAAAGTCACACACTCAAAGACTAATTATCTGTGAAATAATTGTTCATTGGCGGACTTCTCCGCACAAAATACAAATGGTTCATTACTTGTGAAACACAACAGAAAACAGGATGCTAGACACGAGAGATCATACATCCAAATGTAGGGAAAAACCCGGGTGTCTTGTACGATCATCGGCTGTACATTTATCTAGATTAACTCATAAAGAATTTAAAGTGTGTTTGTTGAAACAGAATCGGACAAAACAGTGAACTTAATGTCTACTTTTGTTTGAGGCAGGATATTTGTTTTCTTTCACCCACAACATCCAATATGTCCATTGAACGATTCATTAATTTTGGTGGTAAGCCCTGAGAACAAATTAATTTGTTCAATCATATTCGAGAACAAATTATGTTTTTCAAAAAGTACTCACCTTCAAATATCGGCTAATAAATTCTGGAAGAGTAATAACACCGTCGTCTGGAAATAGAAAAACTATATCTTAACTAACTGTTACTGGAGCTGGTAAGGTTAGGTGAAACGGGGTTTAACGTCGCTTTAAAGATTATTGCACTTCTTACACTAAGAGACGCGTGTCTCTGTGTGTATGTTGGTGTGTCGGTATCTGTGTCTGTGTGTTTGTCTGTCTGTGTGTGTATCTGTCTGCATGTGTGTCTGTGTGTGTGTGTGTCTGTGTGTGGCTGCTTTTACTAGTCCGGAAAGTTGAAACATGACTACCCCACTCAGACACAGTATACGGACTCCGAGACGACCAGTCCTTGTTTTAGCCCCTCAATGCCCAGCGCCAGAAGGGAAAACAGCAAGTACCATCGTTTAACGTCTTTTGATATGACGCAGCCCGTTATCCAATTCCGAACCTTTCGCTTTTGGAGTATAGTAAATAACATGCATTGTGTAGTGTATTTCCAGTGTGATTAGCACTTTAGTAAATAGTGCGTACTCGGAAGTAGCTTACGGCATCATGATTAATTGTATGTACACCGCCATGACAAGAATAAACCTGTGATCGTATCCCCATGTCTCCGTGATTATAAATACGGAGATAGGTCTGAATATTTTAACTCACTCATTCGTACACTTTCACAGCACAACATAGTTCTTTCACGTGGTATCCTGCGAACAGTGAAGCTGTTAATGGAGAATCAATACCAAACATATCGATGGCAGGTGTGGTGAAGAAGTGATCCTTTGGATGGCCTGTTAAACAACATTTGGCGAGAAAGAACTTGCAGATACATAAGCTGCTTGAATGCTATTTCCAAAAGGCCACATCGATGTTAACATGCCACCACATATTCCCATTCAGATGCCATTACCTTCAATTTCGTCAGTCGTACAATGGAATATGCTTTTGATAGAGATATTATGGAAAGGTTTTGTCGCTCTTTTATCATCAACTTCACTGTCACATTGGTCTATTTTTCATATATTCACGATATGACTTCAAGGGAGACCTTGACTTAATTCATCAATATCTCATATTAAAGGGAAAAGAGGAGACATGCATGACATATGCCTGACATATTCGCGTGGTTCAGAAACAAATTGGGGGCACGGGTGGTCCAGTATTCTATGGCGCCGAATTCGTTGTACAGAATTGCGTCTCTTGAGCACGCAAGAAACCTATGATTGTGGTTTCGAATCCCGATTCGCCCCGATTATGTTTCTAGGTTTGTCAGCACCATACCCGTAGTAAACGTCGGAGTCATGCACACTTTGGAGCTTTCCGCCAACATGAACCTGGCATACCGGAATCCTGTTAAACCCAACTCACTCACTCAAGTCATGTTCTCACAAAACCTTGAAGCATCTCATTTGTATACGGCTTCTTCAGTAAATACAGTTACAATACTTACTGTTGCCGTCGTAGAGCCTGAAGAGTCTGATCATCTCTGCTCGGCTTACGCTGCCGTCATGGTCCGTGTCAAGGAATTTGTAGAGTGCCTGAGTAAAGGTCTTGGTGGCATGTCTGTACTGAACGTACTCTTGGATTGACATCTCATTGTCATCTACGGGCAACAAGCATACACGTTGTACAGCGAATGGTCCGTACGATACCTGAGCAGTCCTTTATCCCTTATATCCCGTATATAACTTTAATATGGTATGCGTGATTTCGTCCATTTTGAAAGGTTTAGGGTGTCTAAATAATAACACTCATTCCAATTATTTATTAACTGAATATATTTATTGAATTTAAGTAGTGAAAGTCACTCACGGTTTGTGTCAGACTTGTCAAATGAAATTAAAAACTCTGAAACTTCCACATGGCCGTTTTTGTTCTTGTCAAGAGCGTTGAAGGAAGAAGTGCCAGCAGCAATCAGATCCCGAGTTGTCGAACCTCCGGCTGGGGTGCTGAAAGATAAAATTGTCATCATCAGCCGCATCTGAGGAACAAAGATTTAGTTTAAAGAAATAAATGCAAGTATAGTTTAATGTCGAAGATTGAACATGTCTTGAAAAAGTAAAATTGACAAATTGGAAAAAGATATCCTTTGTCTCCCTTTTCTAAAGATGACTTCACTTCATCAGTTACTACCTGATCGTCATTAGTTTTTCGTCCAACAGTACTGGCTACTGTCGACCTGTTTAGTTGAGTGAGCATGGTTTTACGCGGCTTTTAGCAATATTCCAGCAATATCACGGCGGAGGACACCAGAAATGGGCTTCACACATTGTACCCATGTCGGGAATCGAACCCGGGACTTCGACGTGACGAGCGAACACATTAATCACGAGGCTACCCAACCGCCCGACCTGTTCAAAGCCGGCCACATATATATAGGGAAACAGCAAGACAGGAATATTGCTTTGAGACATTCTGGGAAATTCAATAAGAATAATTGAATGTGTACCATCATTTCTCAACGGATGACACCACGGTCAGAGACGGACGAAGTGAAACACTTACGTAGGAGCGCCTAGCGCACTGGCCACGAGCGTCAGAAGAATAACACCCAACATTCTGAATCAAAGAATACCTATAAGTATAGGACAATCGCGGATACGGACCACATTTTGTACGCGGCACATTTTGCTGGCATTGTTTTTTTATTTCAATGTAAAATGGTCGAACATTGTCGCCAAATAATGCCTTTCTTTCAAGATATTGTGAGGTCTTTATCTGTACATCTATCAATCAATATCTCTAGAGATATATATATTTGAGCATGATGACAAGGTTATATGGTACAGTAAAAGGTAAATAGATCTACATGTACTTACAAATATGTTCAGAGAATGTCTTCAGGAAACTAGAACGATGTCAACCCCTTGCAGACATTATATAGGTATGATTTGATAAGGTAGAGTTATTTTCGGAACAGAGGTTATAAAAATTGAACAAAATTGACATTTGGTCATGAAAACAAGTTTTGCAGTCCGCAATATTTCAGCTGTGTCATGGTGAACTGTAAATAATAGTCTGTGCTATTTTAAGATCGGGGGTTATCAGAATTGCACGAAATTCACAATAGACCTTGAAAAGAAATTTGCACACACAAAAGCGTCAGACACGGACGGGGTACGATGACAGTCAAAGACACGGAGCCTGACCATCCTAACGTCACACACCAACGGGTACGATGACAGTCACCAGTAGGACCATCATTACGTCACACACCAAAGGGTACGATGACAGTCACCAGTCAGACCATCCTGACGTCACACACCAAAGGGTACGATGACAGTCACCAGTAGGACCATCCTGACGTCACACACCAAAGGGTACGATGACAGTCACCAGTCAGACCATCCTGACGTCACACACCAAAGGGTACGATGACAGTCACCAGTAGGACCATCCTGACGTCACACACCAAAGGGTACGATGACAGTCACCAGTCAGACCATCCTGACGTCACACACCAAAGGTTACGATGACAGTCACCAGTCAGACCATCCTGACGTCACACACCAAAGGGTACGATGGCAGGCACCAGACAGACCATGCTAACGTCACACACCAAAGGTTACGATGACAATCACCGAACCTGACCATCCTCACGTCACACACTGTATGCTTTTAGGTTAATTTGAAGTTTCAACTGAAATGCATAAATAACTCGGATGTTAGTAAAAGAGAATAAGGAAATAACAGGTTGGGGTTTTGCAGACTTACAAACACATTTTGAGGGGAGGAGCCAAAGAATGTTCTTTTTACACATTATTTTTAGGAGCACCAAGAATGTCGGTGTAAACTCTGGCATTACTCTCTGTGTGAACCTGAATAATAACACACAAAAAGAGGCCAGTACAAAGGTTTATTTCACAACCTTATTTTGCCAATGTGTTGCATGCCTTCGAGACTATTACTTGCTAAATCCTACACTGTTCTATCGACACACGTTAGTTAACACCAAATCCCTGTTTGTGGGTTTCACCAAAGAGGTAAACTTATTACATCTCTCTCCGTCGCTTCGAGCTTTTCCTTGACCCTAGTAATTAATTCCTATTACCACCACCACCAATACTTCAACTTCCTGAGACAAAGACAGACCTGTCGGCTAAGGTGCCACCACAGTCCAGATTGTCCCATGTTCAAATTGCAGAATCACCCTGATTATGATTCTTGACCTGGCAGTTCCATACTGCTTGTTGGTTTTACCAAAGCAGAAGGTGTCCGTATTACTTCGGGCATTCTATTTTCATAATGCTGACTGGCCGATAACAGAAAAAATACCAGTATGCTGAAGCAACAAAATGTATAAAAAAATTTTTTTTAAAAAGTTGGCTATGCATGGATCTAGATTAACTCAAGACAAAGACCTTGGAAAAAGTGACATAAGTCAGGTAATGCCACATATACTATGCTAAGATGAAGTAGGGGATAATGGGAATCATCACGATCTGATCTATATGGCATTGGCAAATGGAAATGATATGAACATATCTGAAGGGGTGTTGGCGATCAGATCTAATGGTTTCTAATGGTTGGTGTGATGAGACGGTGGCCCTCTAGGTCGTTAAAGAGGTTGGGGGTCAACCAATATCGGGTAAAACTACCTTTGTTGGTCAGGCATGCACGAATTCTTCTCGGAATGCTTCTGATGAGCCGACCAATGTCAATGAGAGTGGGTGGATTTTGACGTTGACGTACACGTCTGTCAATGACGTCCCAGACATGTTCAATGGTGAATGAGTGCTGGCCATGACATGGCTGTTTTTTATGTTGGAGGAATTGGATAACGATCCTGGGACAATGAGCACGTGTATTATCATCTTGAAAGATGAAACGTTGCCCAACACGTTGTGCAAAACGATCATGATGTACGATGTTAACGTCCATAAAACGCTGATTAGGTCGTCTCCAAACTCAATTCCTTCAGGCATGGATGTGGAGAATGAACCTCATTTCGTCACAAAACATGACATTAGCCCTACGTTGATTATCTGAGTGCTGTCGTTCCCTACACCACTGACGCCTCTGATTTAGATGACCTGCAGTCAGTTGTGGGATGACATACATCAGATTCGAACCCACAATCATAGGTTTCTGGTGTGCCCAAGGAACGCAACTCTTCGTCGCCTTAGACGACTGGGCCACCCGTGCCCCCCCCCCCCCCCCCCCCCCCCCTTCTCATTTGTTTGGCATTGTGTCATGGAAAAATTGAAACACACCATTTCCATTTAGAGTTTTCGAACTTTGATTCAATACCAGAATTATTTTTGAAAGCAAAATCTCACGCTATCGCTACTGATTTCGAATATAAAACAAATATATCGAATTTACGCTGGAAACTTCTACATTGAAACCACATTTTAGTTTATCGCTTAATTGGTATTGATATTTTAGGAGAGAAACATTTACAAATAATGCATGATCATTGTACATGTACTTTCTCACGACAGATAAAGAACCTGGAGCATTTCTTATCATGAGTCAGACGCCTTGAATCCCAGTGTGCCGAAAGCTTAGTCATGCCCAGTTTGACCCGTGAAGATCCGGGTTAAAATAGAGGTCTTGCACAATACATAAGCAGAACTCTCAACAAAAGTCAACATGAACTTCGGTGCTGTTTGCATGCATTGCAATGTGACAAATATAGAAGTAGAGTCAGTACAGTGACTGGGAATTACACAGGTGTTCTAAAATATTGAGGTTTTTGTCCCACTAATGTGTTGAGTTGACAACAGCGTTCATTCTAAGCCATTGTGTAGTCTCCTTTTAACTTTTCATTAACACTATTAATGGGCCATAGAGGTGACAATCTGTTTATGCCAATCGTAAAGAAAATAATATTTAACATCAAAGGCGTTTTTGTTTACAATCACACACTAACATGTGTTTATCCTCGGTATACTCCCTAAATGTGGCTTCAAGGCAATCTGCTTCCTAAAATCACTTACACAACTTGACAGGATCAAACATAAATATTTTGGTGGGGTAGGTTTGTAAATTATTCAAAATACTCAATTCTGAATGGTAAAACAGAGGATTCAAATCACAAAGACCACCTTTGCTTGCAACAACTCTTTTGAAGCTGTGCATTTGGTTCCAAAGTTAAGAATGCACCATCACATAACAAGTGAAATAGCTTTTCATTGAAAACACGCATTTATCTCCCAAATAGAATTTTAGAATGCCCACATCATTAGTCAAGCAGATCTTGAGCCAAACTTAGAATGACCGCTGTCATACTTCTTCTTTGTGGAGGTCAACACACAGACACACATGACCTTATCCTTGTGATACATGCATCTGAAGATGATTGTTTCTCTAAAAGATGAAATGCACCGTAAAAATCATCCATCAAACACTGTTTCCTAAAATCACTTACAGAGCATGACATTATCAAACATAAATATTTTACTGGGGTAGATATGTACATTATTCAAAACACTCAATTCTGAATGGTAATTCAGAGGTAAAATGGAAACACACCATTTCAACTTAGAGTTTTCGAACTTTGATTCAATACCAAAATTATTTTTGCAAGCAAAATTTCACGCTATCGCTACTGATTTCGAATATAAAACAAATATATGTAATTTACGCTGGAAACTTCTACATTGAAACCACATTTTAGTTTATCGCTTAATTGGTATTGATACTTTAGGAGAGAAAGGTTTACAAATAATGCATGATCATTGTAACTCGTGTCAGTTTTTCTGAGTTTTGATTTTAATGCTAGAACAGCACATTACTTTCAAGCTTTGGAAGTAAGGACATTCTCGTGGAAACGGGGCGTTATAGTATGTTTAGTAAACGCATCTGAGAGTAGGTAAGTACTGAGGGAGACTGATAAGTAAGAATCTACCTAGATGTCCACATCAATCTCGGATGAAAACTGTGTTTCTGACATAAGGTACTTGCTTTTCTCATGTTGATTTTCTTACGAATTGCTCTCTCAGAATGTCGATGATATCAGAATATTTTTATATGTCTTTAGACTGTAGCAGGGCGTGAAGTCATCCCACAGATGACATCCTTACCTTGTCAGCTTGCTGACGGGGTTAACCTCTTTGGTCATATGGACAAGGCGTCCGACTTCTGATCAGAAGGTCCGTGGTTCGAATGCCATCACGGGCCTCGGACATTATATGGCCGCTACATTGGCGCCCAACGTGGGGCTGAGCACGTTCATATCAAATTTGAGCAAAAAAATGACCAGTACCCTACGATGCGGCCCGAGACGTGCCTTCTGTTGACGGGGAAGTATGTAGCAGGGCGTGCAGTCATCCCACAGATGACATCCTTACCTTGTAAACTTGCTGGCGGGGTTAACCTCTTTGGTCATGTGGACAAGGCGTCCGACCAGTGATCAGAAGGTCCGTGGTTCGAAACCTATCACGGGACTCTAAAATATTATGGCCGCTACAAGACATATTCAACATAATCCACTCCGAGGTCCACAACACTTCTGCCAACTATCCTGGAGTGTCTGGATCCCTCTGGCATTGAAGGCTTCCTCCGATTGGTGTGAAAGGTCATCCACGGCAGACATGACGCCATCATCATTTGCTTAATGCTTGCTATACAGTTCTTTCTTCAAGTTTTGAAAGAGGTTGAAAGATGGCAGTGCCAAAACTGGTGAATGTGGAGGATTCTCCATGAGTTCAATTCCATCCATAGTTATGTATTGCAGCCATGGCGACAACACAAGACTTGTGCACAGATGCATTGTCCTGGTGGAACAACACATTCTTAGTGTGTTTTCCATGACTTTTAGTCTTTATATTTACACGGTTTCCAAAGCTGATTAGCATAATATTGACTATAATTGTCTGATCTTTTGGAAGGTAGTCCACAAGTAGGATTCATTTGAAATCCCTTACGAAGACACTCCCTTGCCAGCTTGTGGAACTGATTTTGCCTTTTTTATCAGAGACATCTTTCCGCTGCTTTGACTATTGTTTTGTCACTGGCCGATGGTCATGAATCTAAGACTTATCCATAGTTCAAAATCGCTCAACAAAATCAGCCGGGTCTGCTTCAAAAATGACATATTCTCACGACAGATAAAGAACCTGGAGCATTTCTTATCATGAGTCAGACGCCTGGAATCCCAGTGGGCTGAAAGCTTAGTCATGCCCAGTTTGACCTGTGAAGATCCGGGTTAAAATAGCTCTTCAGCAACCCGTGCTTGTCGTAAAAGGCGACTATGCTTGTCGTAAGAGGCGACTAATGGGTTGGACAGGTTCGCTGACTTGGTTCATGCATGTCATCGTATCCCAATTACGTGGATCGATGCACATTAATGTCAGTCACTGGATTGTCTGGTCCAAGCTTGATTATTTACAGACCAAAATCATAAACATGTAGCTGGAATATTGCTGAGTGCGGCGTTAAACAAACAAACAATCCAAGCCCAGTTCATTCCTCTCCGTCTTCATTTCCTCCAAAAGATGCCTCCAATATTGGCTATGTGACGTGTGCTGAGACGTCGATCAGCCATGATCATATTATGTATTTCATCAAGTTTCCTTAGTGGTGGCAGTTGAAGGTCTTCCTGATCCTGGATCTTGTTCAAGGCTCCCTCTTCCCCTCTGGAACTCCACTGTTCATCTCTTTAAAGAAGAAGCATTGTCTCCTTGTGTTGACAGCGTATCCGCACGGATGGCTGTTGAAGCTCGCCAATCTAGTCACTTTAAGGCTTGCAGAAATATGCTGTCTGGCTGTGTATTTGGCTCAAATGCAGCCTGTAAACATGGAAAGTAGGGTACTAAATACATGCAACCTTGGTGTACTATGGTGTACTATACATACTTCGTAGTTAAACTCAGAACGTTTCAGGCACCCCTCATATTAGATATTCTACTGACTTCATACTTTTCCCCATGGTTGAATTTACAGCTTTTTTAAAATGAGTGAGTATGGTTTTACGATGCTTTTCGCAATATTCCAGCAATATCACCACAGGTGACACCAGAAAAGGACTTCACACATTGTACCCATGTAGGGAATCAAACCAGGGTTTACGTGACGAGCGAACGCTTAAACCACTAAGCTACCCCACCTCCCCATTTTTTTAAACGAATTTATATGAGGACTTAAACATTTTGTAAAGAAGGAAGCCACTAAAATGTCTGTCAGCTTTCTCATACTAAATTTGACAACTGTGGCTGACGTTTTGAATTTTCAAAATGAAATCTAAACTTTTTTATGATCAGACCTGTACAGAAAATGTTATGCTGATGTGATACGTCCAGTTTCGGGCTTTGAGTGGAAGATCTACAGCTGGTTTTGAAGAAAACCCAAGAAATCAACACAAAGATCTACAGCTTTTCCAATTTTATTTTTTATATTCATGTTTCTGGCACAAAATAAGTATATTTACAATATACAGAGCAGTCTTGCACAATACTTAAGCAGAACTCTCAACAAAAGTCAACATGAACTTCGGTGGTGTTTGCATGCATGACTCGCATGGACATTATTGCAATGTGACAAATATAGAAGAAGAGTCAGTACAGTGACTGGGAATTACACAGGTGTTCTAAAATTGTGAGGTTTTGTCCCACCAATGTGTTGAGGTGACAACAGCGTTCATTCTAAGCCATTGTGTCCCTCTCCTTTGAACTTTTCATTAACACTAGTAATTGACAATAAAAGTGACAATACATTTCTGCCAATTGCAAAAAAAATAAATATTTAACATCAAACAAAACCAAAGGCATTTTTTGTTTACAATCACACACAAACAATGTTTATACTTGGTGAACTCCCTTAATGTGGCTTGAAGGCAATCTGCTTCCTAAAATCACTTACACAACTTGACTGGAGCAAACATAAATATTTTGCTGGGGTAGGTAGAAAACACGCATTTATCTTCCAATTAGAATTTTAGAATGCCCACACCATTACAGTCAAGCAGATCATGAGCCAAAATTAGAATGACCGCTGTCATACTTCTTATTTGTGGAGGTCAACACACAGACACACATGACCTTATCCTTGTGATGCATGCATCTGAAGATGATCAACTCATGGATTAGCACACAATATACAACATACACACATTAGCTATCACATTGCTTTCTTGTCAACAAGTACTGACAGCATAAGAAATTCACTGTGTGTATCCCTTGTTTTCTCTAAAAGATGAAACGCACCGTAAAAATCATCAATCAAACATTTGTGCTTCATGTGAATCACATGCGCAGACAGTCAGTGTACACAGAAGACTTTATTGAAATGCCCCCATTTTTCACATATTTCAAAAACTTGTATGAAAATGTAACAACGAATATATTGCAGCTTATTGTAAACTAATTAAAACATAGAGGAATATGTAGTCTTTGAAATATGTCCACAATTAAAAATATTTAAACATTTAAAATGCTATCGTCATCACTTTACAAAGTTGTATACACTGCATGCCTCAATCACCCATATATACATACATGTAATAGTCATATGTGTCCTTTCAGTTAGGTAATCAAATGAGGCTGTTTATTATTCAAATAAATAATACAAGACTTTTCTATCCATTAACTTTGTGCGAAGCCAACCATTGCCTGACACAGGTGCAAGGCCTTGCGGCATGTTTGACAAGAGTGAGTGAGTGAGTTGGGTTTAACGCCGCTTATAACAGTATTCCAGTTATATCACGGTGTGTCAGCTTAATGTGGGAGGAAAGCCCGAAGTGATGCAGGTCGTAGGCATTTACCACTTTGGTGAAACCCCTTGAGCACGGGTATGGTGCTGACAAACCTAGAAACAACCACAATCCGGCGAATTGTGGCGCCTTAGAAGACTGGGCCATGTATGTTGCACAAGAAATAGTGCCAATGTAACATGAACGCTCACTGGTCTGAGTATTTGATTGTTTCCCTCTTGTTGCAACCAGGGCCCTGTTCCACTAGGCGCTCTTAGCGCTAAGACAACCGTAACTCCCATGCTTTGACATAGACTTACGACAGTCGACAGTCGTAGTGCTACGATCGCTTTGTGGAACGAGGCCCAGGTCGTTTCATTGATCATAAATGGTGACAACACTGCAAACTGGCGGTGTGTATTCAGGAGTGATGGAAGAACACATTGTATAAACACAGGAAGTGCTGACGATGCATGCCAAGGACACAAAGTTATATGTGCATTCAATATACAAGACATGAAGGATGGAACGAAGGCTAGACATTTTCACATCATACACCTGATCCAACAGAAATATCAATGGAAATACTCTGAACCTGAAACTCGCAACTGGAAATCAACATCGTTCTAAAGGGAAACTTTGCAAACATAAAAACTCTGTGAAAGGGTATGTGTTATATTGCATGAATTTTTATAACATATTCAAAAAGTATATATAAAGATCCCCACACAGAGAACAAATATTCATATGCACTATTTTGGTAAACATAAATATTTTTATAACCTTGTATGAACAAAACTATATACAGACATTTTTAAGCAGAATACCCATACATAAATAGATCTCTTGCACAGGACATGCTTTCCTCATGAACAGCAACTCATTAACGCACTGCAGACACCTCCTCCATTGCTGTCTAATATCAAAGTTTAGGCAAATACGTTTGTTTGTGTATTTGCGCTCAGGGTTGCAGAAGATCTTTCTGCAAATAAGCAATATCAGTAATTATGATCATAAAAGTTGCTGTAAAATATCCACAAGAAGTTAAATTATCTTTCTCCATTACAGAAAGAAATGGTATTTTTCTTATCAAACAAATCCTCAAAATATATTGCAATTTTTACCATCTACTCAACAGAGTGCATTAACAATGGGAGTAAGTGAGTTGGGTTTAACACCGCTTTTAACAGTATTCCAGTTATATCACAGTGTGTCAGCTTAATGTGGGTGGAAAGCCCAAAGTGATGCAGGTCTCAGACGTTCACAACTTTGGTGAAATCCACGAAAACGGGTATGGTGCTGACAAACCTAGAAACAAAATCGGGGCGAACCGGGATTCGAACCCACAATCATAGGTTTCTGGGTGCCCATGGGACGCAACCCTGCACAGAGAATCATGGCGCCTTAGAAGACCGGGCCACCTTGTCAGTAGGAAGTACAACTTGCGTGAAATAGTGGGGGTGGGGTGGGGGGTGAGATTGGTCTTAGTACTGTATCATTCTGCTGACTCCTCCCCATTCCATGTAACATTTTTGTTACCACTAAGCAGTATTTCATTGTTCTATGTATATTTAATATTCTATATATATTGTTCTATGTATGTTCTAACAAACTTAGACTTACACTTACAATAATGATATAAAGTCATTGACACAAGATAGTCACACCCATTATGACCCTCATATAAGAGCTGGCCGGCACTGCACATCATCACCAATCACATAATCCTCACAGTGCTGCCTCCAAACATAGTCACAAGAACTTATAGTTAATATCAACCACTTTTTACCCTGTCAGTATCCTTAAGTATTGTTTCACAATTCTATATATTGTTTTACACAGTTCAAATATTCCAGCCATACGATGCTGGGGACACCAACAATGGGCTTTGTTTGATCCATGAAAGGAATCGAACCAGGTCTTGGGCGTGATGAGCCGACGCTTTTACCACTAGGCTACCCCCACTAAAAGGGTCGCGCTCACAGGGTTACTGGTTCCCTTGCTGGCAGATTCCAAGATAGGAATATGTAATGATAGAGAAATAATATGGAATATAGACATTTCTATTGACATTCCAGACCTACATTGAACATAACGGTCACAGATATGGAATATATGCAATAAAGTATCTGTAAACAAAGAGTACATCACTTTGAGAAAACTGAATACTATATTCGCCTTAATAAGTACCCAGCTTCAATAAGCACCCCCGACCTTCTTGATTTAGCTGTACATAATCTTTAGAAGCGCTCCCTACCATGACCAAAAGGTCATGTGACAGACAGTTTTTGTGTAAATAAAATATTCTTTCACTGAGAACAGCAGCATACTAGGGGTAAATAATTGCCTCGTAGCTGTGATAAAAAAATATTTCATCAACGTTTGAACTTAGTTTGATCACTTGATGCATGTCATCGTATCCTAATTGTGTGGATCGATGCTCATGTCAATCACTGGATTGTCTGGTCCAGACTTGATTATTAACAGACCGCCATCATAAAGCTGGAATATTGCTGAGTGCGGCGTTAAACAAAAAACAAACAAACAATACTGCTCAATCTCTAAAAACAAAGATGCTTGTTAAGGCGAATACAGCATAATAATAATAATAATAATAATAATAATCATCTATCGTAGTGGAATGATTGATATGTTATACACAAAACATAAAGTATGTGGGTATGCTTAAAGAAACATGTCTAAACAAAAAGTAAACATATGGAAAACTCAAATAATAATCAAACAATTAATTTCAATTCCATGACAAGGTTTACAGAAGGAAGGCATTGTCTGCATGGTATTGAAAACACTCTTCTTCACACGTAATATCTCCAACAATGTACAACTTCACAAAACTTGTGCCAATTTAAGGACCCGAATTCCACTGTAATATGCCAAATAATCGACATTTTGACTAAGTTGTTCTAAGCATCATCGAATTCAAACTATGTCCAGACACTGATTCAAAGAAAAGATGTGAGTTATTTCCCCTGGTCAGGTACTCAAGTTCATCTTCAAGGACTCAAGCCTTTCAAGTGAGTAGGTCTTAGCACTACTCTAAACAGAGGGTATTCCAGTTATATCACAGCTTAAGCAGAATGGTGGAAGAAAGCCCAAAGTGATGCAGACCTTTACTACTTTGGTGAATCCCACAAGCAAGGGAATGGTGACAATGGACAAAGGACAATAATATAGGAGAATCAGGTGCTGAATAGACAATCAACACATCCTGAGACATCCAAGGGAGACCACTCTAACACAGCATGCATACAAATAGCCCAATAGTGAAATGTTGAAATAATTTGTGGATATTGCACTCATACTGACCTCTGGCACCCAATTCGTTGAATTAAAATCATACAAGGCAACTGATGTTGGCAATCCCTTGAAAACCCAAGATCTATCAGCGTCTACTTTAAACCGTGTATCCGTTTCCACCACAGGGGGCTCGACAAGCACCTGCTATCACACTGTAAACCAATCGGTGTCCATGCACTCTCAACAACTGGGAAGCAGTATAGAAAGACTAGCAATGGTGTAGACAAATGAACTGAACATCCATATTTCAGGATTCTAAAATGTATAACCGTATTGTTCATCCAGCACACATTTGAAGTCAATTGATTTTTTCCTCAAAACTTTCCATACAACTGTAAAATACATGTGACTAAACCTTTTCCATGGTCATAAAACTAAAAGCAGAATCCAATTCACATCACAATATTTCACCTGTGATAAGACTCACTGACTCAACTCAACAGCACCGAATACAGTACTGCAGTGGTGAAAACATACCATGCCCAGCTTACCACACTGCACTAGCAGAAGCCCCACATTCCAACATTAATCTCCAAGAAAATCTAAATAATAATATATCAAATATAATCAAGATTTTCCCCATGTCCCTGGCGTGGTCAGAATGCCCTGAAAGAACTCTGTACACAAGCTGAAATATATTGTGATAAAAGTAATTTGAAGAAGTAGCCTTCATATCGTGACAAGTAGATTTCGACAGTTCACACACAAACTATTTAACTATTCCCCATCAGTCATCATTTATCATTTACACAAATTGCTAATATTAGTTGGGTTTTGCGAGTATCTTTCCAATGTAGAAAACTCAAAATCATTAGTAGAAAAAAACTACTGCTCTTACTTCAAATACAGATCCTGTATAGTTGTTTTTCATTGAAATATACTAAACAAATATTGCACACTTTAATTTCTATTCTTATTTCAACATTCGACAGTTTTCCTTCATTCGTTCATTCGTTTGTTGTTTAAAGCCGAACTCAGCAATATTCCAGCTATATGGCGGTGGTCTGTAAATAATCAAGTCTAGACCAGACAATCCTGTGATTCATGTCATGAGCATCTATCCACGCAATTGGGATCGATGACATGCATTCAACCAAGTCAGCGAGCCTGACCACCTGATCCTGTTTATCACCTCTTATGACACGGAAAGTCGCCTTTTATGGCAATCAACAGTTTTCAAAAAAATTGTCGGTCAACCTAGTGAGCAAGTACGAGGTCCCAAGGTCATGTGGCTATTCTGCAGTACAGGACGACAACTAAGCCAAATACTATTGCACATACATCAAATATCTGCAGGCAGCAACAATGCTTGACCATCCAATTGGACAAAGCTATTCGAAGACTCCAATATGAGTTCATTTTGTGCAATCAAAGCCATCCATCCCCCATAGTACCATAAGCCCGATCCCATGAGTGGCCTCTTACGACAAGCATAGTCACCTCTTACTCATAGCATGGGGTGCTGAAGACCTATTCTACCCCGGATGTTCACGTATCGACTTGAAACTGGAAAATATAAGTCCACACCATACGAAAAACATTTAAAATAATAAAATATCCTGACAGTTGATATTCAATAATTCATGCAAATTGTGCAAATGTTTATGCCCATGATGTGAGGTATGTACGGAGGGTGCAGGAGCGATGTTGTAGGTTAATGTTTACACTCACTGGAGATCTGAACTGTTGTGTATTGGCATCATGTTCAGACAAAACTGGACAACCATCTTCACACATCATATTGTGTTACCACTCCTTAACCTATAGTTTTACACCTCTGTTTAAAACAAGTATTGCCGTCATATCACATTGGGGACAAAAAATGGCTTCAATACTTTATCCACAAAAACACAATTATAACAGTAGTTTTTTGGCCTTCTTTGACAACAGAAATTATAAAAACATTAATCACCGGCAATGATGTTAGTCTACAACTTGAGGGCTAGTCTCTCTGATATAAAATACAGAACAATCTTATCAACTTGAACTACATTATCGTGACATCTCATTTCCGAACAGATGGGTATCTGCACTATAGTGTTATGTCAGCAAACCTGTTAATCTGGATGGTACTGTTCTTAGTGAAGTGGTCCGGATTAATAAACTTCCAGATTAAGGAATCCTGGTTGAGTCATCTTTTGCTGTAAATGTTTGTAGTCATTCCCAAAAGGTGAGGCTTGAGTAGGGCTGGGACGGGTAGCTCGGGTACTCGGGTCGGGTGGGTACTGAGTAGGACCCGGGTACCCACAGGACTACCCAGACCCATGGTAGGTCACATGATCTAAAACTCTGCACGCATTCCTTCTGACTTTATATGTTTTCACAAAGATAAAACTTCAGTCAACTTCAGTGTATGCATGGCCAGCTCATTTTAAACCTGTATCTAAATACATGTTGCCAGGAGTACGGTCACACGTTTCGCAATCAGACATTTTGTACCTATCTCTTGAGACAGCGGGTACCCGGGTAGGGTTGGGAAATAGGGGGTAGGGTACCCGGGTAGTCAATTTGGACTCGTCCCAGCCTTAGGCTTGAGGTCACCTTGGAAACAATACACAGTTCAATCATGAGACATGTAGATAATCTCCATGGCTGCAATTCACTCAACAGTACTAAAACCATACCATCAGTTAATACCATCAAGCTTCATAATATCAGGTTATCAGAATCAACACATATCCCAGAGGCATTCGAAGTGACCAGAAATGAGATGGGCACATGCCCTCTTGTATATATTTATATTAATACTATTATAAATACTGAAAGAACATGGAATGCTTTCATATTACTATAGTTAACCTGTTTTTGAGTAGTACATGTACACAATATTGCAGCCTGTAGACAAATAATGTGACAGACTCATTCTTTTGAAACAAGCTGAACATGGTCTCCATCTTCCTCGTGTGACCCAATATCCAGTGATACATGATCAGCTGGAGAAGTATGCCCTGGTTGTCAGGCTTGAAAGTTTCATCCTTGTACTCAAACTAAATTTGTTGTAATGTCCGATACTCATTGTGCTAAAGGGAAAACAACCACACACCCTAACCTTCTCCCCCAAAACCACAACCCTGAGCCTCAAGGTATCCTCAGGATGCCTCAAGGTATCCTCAGGATGCCTCAAGGTATCCTCAGGTAGACTCAAGGCATCCTCAGCTAGACTCAAGGGATCCTCAGGTAGACTCGAGGTATCCTCAGGTAGACTCAAGGTATCCTCAGGTAGACTCCAGGTATCCTCAGGTAGACTCAAGGTATCCTCAGGTAGACTCAAGGTATCCTCAGGTAGACTCAAGGTAGCCTCAAGGTATCCTCAGGTAGACTCAAGGTATCCTCAGGTAGACTCAAGGTAGCCTCAGGTAGACTCAAGGTATCCTCAGGTAGACTCAAGGTAGCCTCAGGTAGACTCAAGGTATCCACAGGTAGACTCAAGGTATCCTCAGGTAGTCTCAAGGTAGCCTCAGGTAGACAAAAGGTAGCCTCAGGTAGATTCAAGGTATCCTCAGGTAGACTCAAGGTAGCCTCAGGAAGACTCAAGGTAGCCTCAGGTCGACTAATGGAGGTGTGTACATGTGACCCATATTGTAGTGCTGAATCCCACTAGCCAACAGTTGCTTTTGGAAAATGCTATATTTAACATGAAATTATGGGAAGAACACTAGCGTTTACAAAATTTCCTCAGCTGGGGACAGGTAGTGTTTCAACTGCATGATTCATGGGCTGTGCAAATATGTGCAGTGGCGATCTGCTCAATCACTCAAGAAATCTAATAATGTACATGTAGAACTAGTAAGTATTTATCTTGATATTTACCAACATAGCTATTTGATCAAAAGGCTTGTTAATGAAAATAGAAAGATACAAGGTAATTGAAATTGGTTGCAAGGAAAGCATCATTTTCATCTCAATAAGCTCCCCTGTCAAATGTCCACACACAATGTTGCACAGGAAAGACAGATGGTGATACATGGAAACACTGTAGTGTACGCTCACATTTACACAGAGGCTTAATGGTGACTGAAGCACTGGTGTACCAGAGAGAGACTACAGCTGTTAAGGGTGGCTGTACCAGAGAGAGACTCCAGCTGTTGAGGGTGACTGAAGCACTGGTGTACTAGAGACTCCAGCTGTTGAGGGTGGCTGTATCAGGGAGAGACTCCAGCTGTTGAGGGTGACTGTACCAGGGAGAGACTCCAGCTGTTGAGGGTGGCTGTAGCACTGGTGTACTAGAGACTCCAGCTGTTGAGGGTGTATGTATCAGGGAGAGACTCCAGCTGTTGAGGGTGGCTGTATCAGGGAGAGACTCCAGCTGTTGAGGGTGACTGTACCAGGGAGAGACTCCAGCTGTTGAGGGTGACTGTACCAGGGAGAGGCTCCAGCTGTTGCGGGTGGCTGTACCAGGGAGAGACTCCAGCTGTTGCGGGTGACTGTACCAGGGAGAGACTCCAGCTGTTGAGGGTGACTGTATCAGGGAGAGGCTCCAGCTGTTGAGGGTGACTGTACCAGGGAGAGACTCCAGCTGTTGCGGGTGGCTGTACCAGGGAGAGACTCCAGCTGTTGCGGGTGACTGTACCAGGGAGAGACTCCAGCTGTTGAGGGTGACTGTATCAGGGAGAGACTCCAGCTGTTGAGGGTGACTGTACCAGGGAGAGACTCCAGCTGTTGAGGGTGACTGTACCAGGGAGAGGCTCCAGCTGTTGAGGGTGGCTGTACCAGGGAGAGACTCCAGCTGTTGAGGGTGACTGTACCAGGGAGAGACTCCAGCTGTTGAGGGTGTATGTAGCACTGGTGTACCAGGGAGAGACTCCAGCTGTTGAGGGTGACTGTACCAGGGAGAGACTCCAGCTGTTGAGGGTGGCTGTACCAGGGAGAGACTCAAGCTGTTGAGGGTGACTGTACCAGGGAGAGGCTCCAGCTGTTGAGGGTGGCTGTACCAGAGACTCCAGCTGTTGAGGGTATTTTCTGTGGTGTGGCTGGTAAGGTATTAGTCTTGTGGGGACAACGATAGTTGGTTTATTTGTTGACAAGTTGAAGAAAATGCTGAGCTGTGTCAATCATCTGTAAAAGAAAATATAATTGTTATCATCTCTTGAAAATGGTATTGTAATGGGGTGACTATTGGTATACTGATATTACTTTGGGAAACAAAGACAGTTTGCCACTAGTTTCAGCAGATCCTTAAGTCAGTGACTGGACTGGGAGTTTGAGGTACGCATCAGTTTGTAAATGGTAATGGATTTATTCTCCAAGCAGCAATACATCCTATGGTTTTCCACTAGACCACAGAGGCGTTCCCCCCAAAATAAAGACATAAGCCTCAGGCCATCAATTCACAAAGCAGTTGTCAAAATTTAAGTGCTTTGTCCAACAAGTTCTTGATGTGCATGGGTCGTTCCGAATGTCTGACTCTACCTCTGTGAGTGTCACAAGCCCTGGTGTCGATCTTTGACTTCAACGGCCTTCGCTAATACTGTCTGCACATCAATAGAAGGTGGGAAATTCTGAAATACAAAACGTGTGTGCATTCACATAAACAGCTGCAGGGGCACGTTTATATTTCTGACTGCTCAGTTTGTGCCTGTAGATAAATGGAGTGAGTGAGTGAGTGAGTGAGTGAGTGAGTGAGTGAGTGAGTGAGTGAGTGAGTGAGTGAGTGAGTGAGTGAGTGAGTGAGTGAGTGAGTGAGTGAGCTGACTTTGAGCAATATTCCAGCCATATCACAGTCGGGGACACCGATAACATGTGACACACATTGAGCCCATGTGTAGAGTCGACCAAAGCCTTGGACATGAGCTAATACTCAACCACTGGACCTATCCAATGAGAACGCAGGTCAGTGAGGTCAATGATCAAGTCAAGGCCCGGCAAAAACAAGTGACGGAAAGCATGGGGATGATCAACATATATGTCTTCAAAAATGTCAGGGAACAATAATGTCAGTCAGATTTTATGGAAAGCATTGGACAATGGTGATCTCTTGTTCCCAAGAGGTTGGAGATAACATGGGAGAGTTTGTCTCGATGTATGGGAGATAACTCTAGCACACAAGGAGAGACCGTTCAAGGTGTTTCTGTCATTATGTAAGGGGGATAACTCTTGCACACATGGTGAGACAGGTCAAGGTGTTTCTGTCACTATGTATGGGAGATAACTCTAGCGCACAAGATGAGACAGGTAAAGGTGTTTCTGTCACTATGTATGGGAGATAACTCTAGCGCACAAGATGAGACAGATCAAGGTGTTTCTGCCACTATGTAAGGGAGATAACTCCAGCACACGAGGGGAGACATCTAAAGGTGTTTCTGCCACTATATATGGGAGATAACTCTAGCGCACAAGGTGAGAAAGGTCAAGGTGTTTCTGTCACTATGTATGGGAAATAACTCTTCCCAACAATTACAACAAGGGAATCTGTTCCTGTCTGAAAGTTCGGATGTATTTTGTACATTAATACAAGTACTTACCTGAAGTAGTTTCATGTTGTGGGGAAAATCACCCTTTAGTAAATCTTCCCTGAGGAGCCTGAGGAGAAAGGTCAAAGTAACAGCCTTGTTACATTTATTAGATCGGGTATAGAAGGTGGTGAAATTGGGTTTAACATTGTGTTCAAGATTATTGCATTTCTATAGCGACTTGCATGCATGTGTGTGTATGCTAGCCCACTGAGATACCATGCTGCAGATTAACATGAATACCCCACCCAGACACTGGTGACTCCCGAGCCTTCCAACCACCATGCCATAACCAGCTGCATCTAATATACAGTTCACTTACATAAACACTTCTGTTTAGGAAACTGTATATTACCAGCTATTGGCCAACACCAGATGTAGGCTGACCTCCAAACCCATGACACTTGAAATCCCCACCAAAATACCGTACCTTAAAGAAAGGAATTCCCTATAATGAATGAATATTACCAATAGTGCTATTGATACTTTGCATTACAACAATAATAGTTGCCTTGAGCTGATTGCATACATGTTGTTTTAGAGCATACAAAAACAGAAATGTTGATAAAGCTTCGTTTTGACAAAATTCATTCATTTGGGACAGATAATCCAAAATATTCTTTGAGAAAATCTTCTAAGGATTTGACCGTCAGCAAGGTCCCTGGTACCTGGTACATGTATTTACGACCCGTGAAGATCCGGGGTAGAATAGATCTTCAGCAACCCTTGCCTGCTGTAAAAGGCGACTATGCTTGTTGTAAGAGGCGACAAACAGGATCGGGTGGTCAGGCACGCTGACTTGGTTGATGCATGTCATCGTATCCAAATTGGTGGATCGTTCCTCATGATGTCAGTTACTGGATTATCTGGTTCAGACTCATTTATTTACAGACCGCCGTCATATAGCTGGAATATTGCTCAGTGCGGCGTTAAAAAACAACCAACAAACAAACAAATTCTAAGGATTCACTTACATTAGCATTGCACAGGATACGTGGATGAGGAATTCAAAGCGACTGGCATCAGCAAATAGAGAGTCCCATATCCGTAACACATCTGAAAGAAAGTTCTTGATAAGACACGATCATGTTGCACAAAACCTGGCTGTTGCAGCAATGTTCAAGCACTAATTCATACACAAGGGGTGTCATGTGTGTTTACCTCATGTATTGATACTTATTGTGATACTTGAGTCATGTTACACTGTGCGTTCCAGGAAGTGAGATTCTCACAAGACTGCCCAAAGAACTGGTTCACAATCATCCTTAAGAGTGAGATTCTCACAAAACTGCCCACAGAATTGGTTCACAACCAAACTAGGGAGTGAGATTCTCACAAAACTCTCCAAAGAACTGCTTCACAACCAATCAGGGAGTAAGTTTCTCGCAAGACTACCCAAAGAACTGGTTCACAACCAATCAGGGAGTAAGACACTCACACGACTGCCCAAAGAACTGGTTCACAACCAATCAGGGAGTAAGACACTCACACGACTGCCCAAAGAACTGGTTCACAACCAATCAGGGAGTAAGACACTCACACGACTGCCCCAAGAACTGGTTACCAACCAATCAGGGAGTAAGACACTCACACAACTGCCCAAAGAACTGGTTCACAACCAATCAGGGAGTAAGACACTCACACGACTGCCCAAAGAACTGGTTCACAACCAATCAGGGAGTAAGACACTCACACGACTGCCCAAAGAACTGGTTCACAACCAATCAGGGAGTAAGACACTCACACGACTGCCCAAAGAACTGGTTCACAACCAATCAGGGAGTAAGACACTCACACAACTGCCCCAAGAACTGGTTCATAACCAATCAGGGAGTAAGACACTCACACGACTGCCCAAAGAACTGGTTCACAACCAATCAGGGAGTAAGACACTCACACGACTGCCCAAAGAACTGGTTCACAACCAATCAGGGTGTAAAACACTCACATGACTGCCCCCAGAACTGGTTCACAACCAATCAGGGTGTAAGACACTCACACGACTGCCCCCAGAACTGGTTCACAACCAATCAGAGAGTAAGACACTCACACGCCTGCCCCAAGAACTGGTTCACAACCGATCAGAGAGTAAGACACTCACACGACTGCCCAAAGAACTGGTTCACAACCAATCAGGGAGGAAGACACTCACATGACTGCCCAAAGAACTGGTTCATAACCAATCAGGGAGTAAGACACTCACACGACTGCCCCCAGAACTGGTTCATAACCAATCAGGGAGTAAGACACTCACACGACTGCCCAAAGAACTGGTTCACAACCAATCAGGGAGGAAGACACTCACATGACTGCCCAAAGAACTGGTTCATAACCAATCAGGGAGTAAGACACTCACACGACTGCCCCCAGAACTGGTTCATAACCAATCAGGGAGTAAGACACTCACACGACTGCCCAAAGAACTGGTTCACAACCAATCAGGGAGTAAGACACTCACACGACTGCCCCCAGAACTGGTTCATAACCTTCTAAGGAATGAGATTCTCAACAAAACTACCTAAAGAACTGGTTCACAGCTATTTCAGGAAGTGAGATTATGTCAAAGCACCTACATGAGAAATTGTTCACAACCTTGAAGTGAGTGAGTGAGTATGGTTTTATGCCGTTTTTAGCAATATTCCAGCAATATCACGGCGGGGGACACCAGAAATGGGCTTCACACATTGTACCCATGAAATTGAACCGTGATGTGCGAATGCTTTAACCACAAGGCTACCTGACCGACCGCCCGGCAACCTTGTAAGTTTTTAGGTTCAAATACAGAGAGTTATGGTGGAATGACTTCCTGACAAAACGTTCACTATCGGCCTGGCCCTGACATCAGGGTGGATCTCCCAAGGAACTCTACCGCCCGGCAACCTTGAAAGTTTCTAGGTACAAATACAGACAGTAATGGTGGAATGACTTCCTGACAAAACGTTCACTATCGGCCTGGCAGGGAGACATCAGGGTAGATCTCCCAAGGAACTCTACCGCCCGGCAACCTTGAAAGTTTCTAGGTACAAATACAGACAGTAATGGTGGAATGACTTCCTGACAAAACGTTCACTATCGGCCTGGCAGGGAGACATCAGGGTAGATCTCCCAAGGAACTCTACCGCCCGGCAACCTTGAAAGTTTCTAGGTACAAATACAGACAGTAATGGTGGAATGACTTCCTGACAAAACGTTCACTATCGGCCTGGCAGGGAGACATCAGGGTGGATCTCCCAAGGAACTCTACCGCCCGGCAACCTTGAAAGTTTCTAGGTACAAATACAGACAGTAATGGTGGAATGACTTCCTGACAAAACGTTCACTATCAGCCTGGCAGGGAGACATCAGGGTAGATCTCCCAAGGAACTCTACCGCCCGGCAACCTTGAAAGTTTCTAGGTACAAATACAGACAGTAATGGTGGAATGACTTCCTGACAAAACGTTCACTATCGGCCTGGCAGGGAGACATCAGGGTGGATCTCCCAAGGAACTCTACCGCCCGGCAACCTTGAAAGTTTCTAGGTACAAATACAGACAGTAATGGTGGAATGACTTCCTGACAAAACGTTCACTATCGGCCTGGCAGGGAGACATCAGGGTGGATCTCCCAAGGAACTCTACCGCCCGGCAACCTTGAAAGTTTCTAGGTACAAATACAGACAGTAATGGTGGAATGACTTCCTGACAAAACGTTCACTATCGGCCTGGCCCTGACATCAGGGTGGATCTCCCAAGGAACTCTACCGCCCGGCAACCTTGAAAGTTTCTAGGTACAAATACAGACAGTAATGGTGGAATGACTTCCTGACAAAACGTTCACTATCGGCCTGGCAGGGAGACATCAGGGTGGATCTCCCAAGGAACTCTACCGCCCGGCAACCTTGAAAGTTTCTAGGTACAAATACAGACAGTAATGGTGGAATGACTTCCTGACAAAACGTTCACTATCAGCCTGGCCCTGACATCAGGGTGGATCTCCCAAGGAACTCTACCGCCCGGCAACCTTGAAAGTTTCTAGGTACAAATACAGACAGTAATGGTGGAATGACTTCCTGACAAAACGTTCACTATCGGCCTGGCCCTGACATCAGGGTGGATCTCCCAAGGAACTCTACCGCCCGGCAACCTTGAAAGTTTCTAGGTACAAATACAGACAGTAATGGTGGAATGACTTCCTGACAAAACGTTCACTATCGGCCTGGCCCTGACATCAGGGTGGATCTCCCAAGGAACTCTGCCGCCCGGCAACCTTGAAAGTTTCTAGGTACAAATACAGACAGTAATGGTGGAATGACTTCCTGACAAAACGTTCACTATCGGCCTTGCCCTGACATCAGGGTGGATCTCCCAAGGAACTCTACCCACCTGGAAGGGGGAACTCCTGAGACAGCAGTAGGGTGAGCCAGCGGAAGGCGTAGTACTGGGGTTTAAGATCTTGTTCCTTCAGCAGGTGCCACAAAGCAGGGTCCTTGACCTGCAGGTAGTCGTACAGCTTTGTCATCAAGTTTCCTGTACACACAAACAAAAAATTAGAGTTATAGAGTTCTATTGTTCACCTGAAAACTACAAGAATAATTGCAGCATATGAACATAAAGTAGGGGTTCAGATGGGCCCATATTCTCAAACTAGGACTGATCGTACTAAATAGGGTGATAAACATTCTCTTCAAAATTGATAATGATACAACAAATGTCCTACAAGTGTTTGTTTGTGAAGTTCAAAGACCTAAGCTGTGCCACACATCAAGAAATACATAAATATTTATCCATAACATGTTGTCAGGCATACATCATACTTAATGCATATCAAATATTTCAAATAAATTTCATCAAAAGAGCTCACTGATTTTTTCATTATGGCTGCCAGTTACTGTAACTATCAGAGACATCCTAGCTGAGACCATCATGTAAAGTTACAACATCATAGGCCCTGGGGTTGTAGGGGAGATGCTTACACTTGATGTCTGGATGGAGGGCTGAACAGACGGACATTGTTCATTCATAACAATATTCATGTAGTACACATTGGAGTCATTTGAGTGGCTAGTATTATCTGCCATCTTTCAGAGATTATATAGTTTGGGTTTATGTGTTTAGATACACGCATGAAACGATCTGGTGTATACACTGAAATTGACTGAAGTTTTATTTTTATTCAAACATATAAAAGTCAGAAGGAATGGGCGTAGTTGTCAGAAAAAACTGCGAACATCAGTAACTTGTAGTTTAAACATAGAGTTCCAGATAATGTTTGTCTTTAAACAATATATCACGTGACTAACCACAGGTCCGGGTAGTCCTGTGGGTACACGGGTCCTGCTTATTACCCACCGAACCCGGGTACCCGAGTTACCCGTCCCACCCCTAGTGCTGGAGTATGGAAGTTAAGATTGCCTGAGGGATAAGATTGTCGTTAGCCTATGTTGAAGTTATGGAGTAAGATTAGATCTTAGAGCAAAGATTGTTTCATGAAAAAATGCCCTGAACCCACATGCACAAAGCGATCTTAGCGCTAAGATGATCGTAACTCCCATACTTTAACATAGGCTTACAATAGTCTTAGCGCTAAGATCGCTTTGTGCAAGTGGGCCCTGGTCCCAAATTGACAAAGTGATCTTTGCTCCAAGATGAACGTAAGTTGGAGTTACGACCATCTTCGCACTCAGATCTGTTTGTGAAATGGAGCCCACAAACACAGCATTAGTGATTACCTATCCCACACTGAGAGTCATCCAGTGTCTTAATGAAGTTGTCCCGAATCTCAGCCATCAGATTTGTGAAACAAAAGAAGGAGTCCGCCTCAGCATATTCTGAAACAAACAGATAAGAATAACCAATTAAAAACTGTGCGACCTAGAGTTTCAGAGGGTCATTTCCGGGAGTCCTGCCTCTCTGGGTGGGAACTACTGCTCCTGTTGAGTTCCTGTTTATATTTCAATGCCCATCTTCCCGAGGCAAGTGAGTTAACGGACTATAAAAGTCCAGTTTCCACCCTTGCCGAACTAGGCTGGTATTATGGAGTTACATTTTGGCTGGACTAACGAGTTTATGCATAGTCCAATCAAAATCGCGCACCGAAATCGAAATCCGGTTCGTAGAGTGTCATGCAGATTTCGGTCGACTGCAGGATTTGCAAAGCATGTGCACCGCTAACTCATTGTCAACAGATATTTTCTAAATCTTTTCATGTTTTAAATCAAGGTGCTCACGTGATTTGATGCACTTCGCGATGTAAGACTTGATTATCGATCAGATCGTCTTGACTGGGCGCCACCGTTTTGTTTGAAACAAATGCAAGTGATACGAGAGGTTGAATCTGATTGGTCAATAGGAGAGGCATAGAAAGGACATAACTCGTAATAGCCACTCGTGGCGCTACGATCGAGCCCAGGAATTCCAGCCTAGTTCGGCAAGGGTGGAAACTGGACTTTCAAAGTCAGTTAACTCTCTTGCCTCGGGAAGATGTTCAATGCCATGATGGAATTGTATTTTGAAAGTGAGTTCACTTTATGTGGGAGGAAATCGGAACAGAGGTGCTAGACATTTGCCTCTTGGTGACAGCCATGAGCAGGGATATCATGCTGACCATAAAGGAAAGGAAAGGATCATATCAGGGGCGAATATGGGATTGAAACTTCCGATAGCAAAGAGTCAAAACTAGGCACGATAAATTGCGGCGCCATTGACAAATTGGGCACCCATGCCTGAGGATCAATATCACTGGTTGATAATAAGAGTGAGTGAGAGAGTATGGTTTTACGCCGCTTTTAGCAATATTCCAGCAATATCATGGCTGGGGACACCAGAAATGGGCTTCACACATTGTACCCATGTAGGGAATAGAATCTGGGCCTTCAGAGTGACGAGCAAACGCCTTAACCACTAACCTACCCCACCTACCCCACCGCCCCCTTGATAATAACAACAACATCCAATGCCATCAAGGTAAAATGACACACAATCAAGTCCCTGGACCACAAGATCCATTTAGTTGCCTCATAGGTTGATGGAGACCGATTCCAACCCCACATCCCACACATCAAACACGGCCATGGCAAACTGGGGTTGAGGGATGTAAATAGTCATGGAAAATTCAAGCAACTGGGGCCATTAGGACATCTATGCCAGAGGACCAACATCTCCTTAACTTTCCATAAATATCTCTCGGACATCTGCTTGTACTCACCTCGACAATCAACATCAGGATCAGAAGCAAACGTGTAGTAGATTGGCCCAAGTATTTCATTCATGCCCTGCAAATAAATGTTAAACATTGTGAGCATGGAAAGGGGAGGTAATTCCTCCGACCAGTCTAAGTAGTGAGGGTTTAACACCACTTTATGTAGTATGCAACAATGTGTTATAAGAAATAAAAACTAGAATTAGCTACACTCTTACGACAAATACAAACAATCTCTTAACACAGTCACTGAAAACATTTAACATTTATAAATACAGAGTCACCTGTACAAACTTGTGTGTCAGGTGAGGAATAACACAGACAGAGCTAGTACCTGCACATATTTCAGTCCGGGGTTTAGTTTTGCATATATGAAGAGGATCCTCTCCACCACCTCCCAGTGCGCCTCCTGGCCCTCCGGCAGTGCCGCATACTCCTCGCTCGCCTTCCTCCGACTCGACATCATCTGCACATACACACGGCAGAGCTCACCTAAATTCTCATTACAAACTACATCCATCATCTCAACAAGGGTAAATGTAAAGTGGATTCATTGTTCAACTAATGGCCTCACTTATACAACTCATGATAGCAGTAAATCATACACCCATGTTCAGCTGACAAGACCAGTGAGTGATGGAGTATGGTTTTATGCCGCTTTTAGCAATATTCCAGCAATATCACGGTGGGGACACCAGAGATGGGCTTCACACATTGTACCCATGTCAGGAATCAAACCCGGGTCTTCAGCGTGATGTGCGAACGCACCCAAACCCCCGCTGACAGACCAAGGATCATAATCAAGGTGAATGGCAGTCACAGCTAATCATAAATGCTTTCATAAGCAGGGTAAGTCAATCTCATTTTCATGTACAAATTTTAAAAAACAAACTGGAATGGGTTATTTTTAATGTGGCCCCGAGGATTAGGTTGAATTATGGAACTTATATTTTTAAGTAAATTTCACTGTTGATGTCCAATTTGTAATGTTTATGAATTTCTTTGAAATTCAAGTTGAAGGCTAAATGATATGAAACCTTATACCATTGCTTTGGTAGGTTGGAAATCTTCATAATGACTCTGCACATGTAACATGCAACACAGACCACTGGCCATCATACATCTCACAACCTTAGCAGTCACTATGTCCTTGTCATGAACTCTGCACACTGGCCACCATTACCTCTCAGAGCCTTCGAGGTCACTACGTCCTTGTCATGCACTTTGCACACTGGCCACCATACTTCTCAGAACCTTAGAGGTCACTACATCCTTGACATGAACTCTGCACACTGGCCACCATACCTCTCACAACCTTAGAGGTCACTACGTCCTTGACATGAACTCTGCACACTGGCCACCATACCTCTTAGAACCTTAGCGGTCACTACGTTCTTGACATACCGTAAACTCTGCACACTGGCCACCATACCTCTCACATTCTTAGAGGTCACTACGTCCTTGACATAAACTCTGCACACTGGCCACCATATCCCTCACAACCTTAGAGGTCACTACGTCCTTGACATGAACTCTGCACACTGGCCACCATACCCCTCCTAACCCTAGATGTTACTATGTCCTTGATATGAACGTGGCACACTTACGTTTGTGATGCCAAGCCTGTTCCTGGAGACAGTTTCGGAGTGCAGCACACACTGTTCAACTCTCTTACGCAGTGTCTCGATGTTAGAGTCACAGTTAACAATGCCCTCGTGGGGGTACTCCGTCGCTCGCTGGAAGAAGAACAAATCCGGGCACAGGCGTCTGAAAACAAAACCACCAATCAGTCACAACATGTCAAGGTATACATACACACGTATGTGCAGTTTTCTGGCAAGCGACAGGACAAGCGTGGACAGGGACCCCTTCAACATAAATACATGGGGTCATTTTCAAAACTCATGGGGCAACACTCTGAGAGATCATATAAAACTTAAAAACACCATATGCAGGTTATTGATGCAGAATCCCCGTCCACACGTAACATTAACCATACACGGAATGTTTCACACGGCATCTTTCTCCGATGTAACATACCTCAGCAACCATGTCCCATGTCATATATTTAGTCTCATTGCAAGAAGTTCCGATGCGAAATTCACACCAATACTCATCACATTTTCGCTAATAAAACTTGTGGTTGGCATTTCTGCAATACCGGGGTGTCAATTGAAGCAGAAACGTCTTTGCCATTATCAGAATCACTATTGTCCCAAACTGTGTAAGCTCAATTCAGGTTAGAACATTTAGGACTTTCAGCCAATGAAAGGCATTGATAATAAATTGAGACACATAACATTCAAAAACTGAAATATTTTTGAGTCAGTGACTCCCATAAATATATGAAATATACCCACTTACATGAATGTGCCTAATGTCCCACTGAGTGTAAATATGATGTGCCCATCAATGGATTATTGCGTGAATCCCGCGAGCAGCTACCTCGCCAGAACACTGTTTTGTGTCCACATGTTTATTTACCTCATAAAACATTCTTGCATAAAGTGTTAGCATTGGCCACTGTCTAGTGAACTAATGCTCAAGAATAAGATCAGAATTAACTAAAAGGTGGCTTGGCTGTGTTAGTTTGGAGGCGGTTCTGATTATATAGGAAATTAAAATCTGGTCCAAAATTGGCAACACAAACAACTCTAAAGTCCTGGGCCCACTTGCACAAAGCCATCTTAGCACTAAGATTATCATAAGCCTATGTTAAAGTATGGGAGTTACGATCATCTTAGCACTAAGATAGCTTTGTGTAAGTGGGTCCTGCCTTATTGTAGACCGTGTCGTACCTGCAGTCCTTGTCAATCTGCACCAGCATGTCGTTGTCCTTGAAGATGGCCTGCCAGGAACTGTCAGGGTTCGGGTTGAGAGGCTGATTAAACAAAAGCAGGGCTGACATTCTGGTTACAACTTTCAACGTGATTTCCTTTACTCTGGAAGCAGTCCTTGTTTTCAAAAAGATTTTATATTTAAAAACATAAAAAATCTAAGATTTTGAAAATTTTACATTAATTTGTGTACTTATATGCTTATTTCACACTATGCCTTTCTCCTTCTTCTTTTAATCTTGGTGTGGAAACGCCCTTGACAAGCTAGAACAAAGTTTCCAGCTTCAAAACACATTTCACCTGAACACATCACTGCATCATTTGAAGCTGGAAACTTCGCTCTGGCATGTCCAGGACTTCTTTCAAAGGTTCCACAACAAGATTGAAAGAAGGATAAATGCAGCGTTAGAAATTGGCACCAGTCCTGTAGTCCTTGCCGTACTGCCCAATAGTTAAGGTATCATAAGGACTACTAGAAATGTGCTACTTTTAAGGGTTTTACTATATGTGATCATCATAAGGTCTAGTGGACTGAAACTGTTAGTTTCTACCACTGGAAATGCATAGTGTGAAATAGAATAAGGTTAAATTTACTCTTTTTCCACATTCCTGGTGTTATAAATGCATAAAAAACTCTGGAAACAAGATTATTTTATTTAAAACTTTTCGAATTTTCATTTTCTTAAAGGTTATGTGAGACATTATAGTTATAAGATAATAGTTTTTTTGTTTCGTTCTACAAGAATGATCAAAAATGAGTTTTCAGAAAGGTTCAGATTCATAGAAACTGTTGTTTCTGACAATGTTAAAATATGCACTATTAACCTCTTGGCTTAATATCTCAAAGAGGTTAAAAACAAAACGTGTGTTTCAGGTAACATTGGCGTATCAGATATGGGATGGTGGGTAGGTAGGTAAATTATGTTACTTATGTAATGAATCTTCTTGGACAACTAACATCACCATGTGAGGTGAAATGGGGTTTAACATTGCATTCAAGACTATTGCACTTATATAGCGACATGCTTGTACATGTGTGTATTGGTTCCCAACCCCCTATTACCGGACCCTACCCTGTAGGTCTCAAGAGTTGGGAACACAATATCTAATTGGGAATAGTTTAACTGTAGCCCTGGCAAAAACTGTTTAGATACATGTATGAAACCATAGACCATATAATAGATATATGGTCTCTTATGAAATGATCGAATCATGCGTAGCCGTGACTGAAGCTTTATCTTTACTCAAACATATACAAGTCAAAAGGAATGTGTGCATCATCATAAAGAAATGCAAACATTAGCGACTTGTATCATAACCACTGAGCTCTAGTGAGATTTTGTCATTAAACAATATGCCGATTGACTAAAGACGGGTCCGGGTAGTCCGGGTAGTACTGTGGGTACCCAGGTCCTACCCGACCCGAGTACCCGAGTTACCCGTCCCAGCCCTAGTGTATATGTACTCGTCCGGACTAATGACGGTTTAATAGTGCTATCCCACTGAGATACCATGTTGCAGTGGAACATGGATACCCCACTCAGACACAGTATACTGACTCCGAGCCGACCAGTCCTTGTTTTATCCAAATGAATGCCGAGCACTAGACAGGGTAACAAGTACCATTGTTTAACATCTTTGGGTATGACACAGCTGGGGATCAAACCTCTGACTTTCTGCTCTCTAGGCAGACTCCTCTATCCACTATACCACAGAGGTGGTCTAACAGCTGTTTGGATAAAATGAACACAAAGTTTCTGTATAACACCAAACTCACATGGTCCTCATGAACTCCAGCGTTGGCCTTCACGCCCGGGTCAATGATCATCTCCTGCACAAACTGCCTGTACAGGGCTCTGTAACAGAACAACACAGTCAGTCCAACCAAGACATGCCAAACAATTCTTAAATTACTAAAAAACTCCGGAAATAAGAATTTTGACAAAATAAAAAAAATTTAATAACAGCAAATTTTAGTCATATATATATATATTTTATTTTTTTAAAAAGGTTTTCCTGCCATAGCATTGCATTAACTGGAAGATCTTCAGGAAAACATATTTTGAACATCAGATGAATTTCAATAACAAGTTTTTACCTTATAGTAATACACTGTAATAAGTAATGTTTGTTTGTTTGTTTGATGTTTAACACCGCACTCAGCAATATTCCAGCTATATGACGGCGGTCTGTAAATAATCCAGTCTGGACCAGATAATCCAGTGATTGATATCATGAGCATCAATCTACACAATTGGGATACGATGACGTGCGTCAACCAAGTCAGCGAGCCTGACCACACCATTCCGTTAGTCGCCTCTCACGACAAGCAAGGGTTGCTGAAGACCTATTCTAACCCGGAATCTTCACGGGAGAAATAAGTAATGAATAAGTGCTGTGTATCAAACATGTCCATGTTTACAGGGCTCAAATTACTGTTTGAGCTATTGAGTATTAGTTACGTTATCATTTATATCAGGTATTGATAGTTTTTCCCTGTACCACGATACGATGGCGTTCTCTCCCTTGTCAAACAGTGTGAATCAATTTTACTAGCAATGTAAATGTAAATAAAGAACTTTCATCCTATATTTCTCCACCCTTGGGTCTAGTCTAATGGGTATTTTTAAACTGGTGAGTTGACTTTTCTTAAAAATAATTCCATGCTGTTTTGGTTCTTTTTCAACCCCCAGTCGCATACAGACCGGGACAGGGACAGGGACATATATCTCTCAGTTACAATATGCAAGGCACAGCATGCATTAGGCCACACGTTTTTTATTTTTTGTTTCACAGGCCCCCCTACCCCTACTGAAAAGCAGCGGGTCCAAGAAATAACTAAACATAAAAACATTTATTTTAATTATGTCTCCTGCGACTTATATAGACCGTCTCATACAATAACAAATGTTAGAAATAACTTGTATGTCTACATCACTATCAGTCAATGAATGAATGAATGAATGAATGAATGAATGAATGAATACATGACATGAATATATGACATGAATACATGACATGATATGACATGACATAGCTATTTATTTCTATCTTTATTTTGACTGACCCTGTGTGGAAAAGCAGGAATAAATCTTTGTAACATAAAATCAAAAACGTGTGACCTTATACACTGCTTTAGAGTTGTATAGAGACGGGAAAATGTAATTCCTGCTTTAGATCAGTAAACAAAGATATGGTAAATAAACATTTGTATTAGATATCTATATATAGATATTTGTCTTTTCTTGACAAATAATATGGATATATGAATATCATCGAGTGGCTTGCAATTTGTTGATATTTTCATGGGTTGCACAGCATAAGTGAAACTGTCAACTTTGCAGGTCACAAGATGAGATAAACATGTCTGAAAATACGAGACAAATGTTCAATTAATTATGTAGCTGCTTGCAATGTTTTCATTATCTTATTCTGAAAACCATAGCATCATTGTGTTAGACTGCTCTGTATTGCTTGACAACAGTATAAGGACCTATACAGAAACGTCACTAGTACAGTGTAACAAAGAAGTTGTTATCCATAAATGTTTTGTCCACTTTGTCATCCGTCAACTTCTAAGTAATGCCTATCAAACAATTCAACATTACCTTTGTTTCTTCAAGAAATCTGGCCAGCCTCCTTTCTTCAGGGGCAGATAATTCAGGAGAATCTGTGAATGCAGCAACACATCTGAGTGAGTGAGTGAGTGAGTGAGTGAGGGAGTGGGTGGGTGGGTGGGTGGGTGGGTGGGTGGATGTGTGTGGTGAGAGTGAGTGAGTGAGTGAGTGAGTGAGTGAGTGAGTGAGTGGTTTTATCACACCTGGGGTTTACCTTAATTTACAAAGTTGGGGGTCCGTGGGGAACAAAATTTAGGGTTCATGCAGGCAATATGATTGTCCTGTAAAGTTATGAAATGTTGTAGTATGCTGTATATTTGGATAATTACTTTAGAGCCTGGAATGAATAATGATCATGTGGACAGTGGTCATGACTGATAGATGAAATGACAGACACCCATAACCCCTCTTGATGCACTGTATGTACAATGCATGTTGTTGTGCATCCCCGGGGAGGCAGAATAGTCTTTTTCTGCATCCAATCGCAACATTTGTGCATACTGAATGCACGTTTGTGCGTCGCATAAAACCCTGTTTACCAATATTCCAACAATATTACGACGGTGCTACAAGGGGGAGACTGGTTCTACAAGGGGGAGACTGGTGCTACAAGGGGGGAGACTGGTGCTACAAGGGGGGAGACTGGTGCTACAAGGGGGAGACTGGTGCTACAAGAGGGAGACTGGTGCTACAAGGGGGGAGACTGGTGCTACAAGAGGGAGACTGGTGCTACAAGGGGGGAGACTGGTGCTACAAGGGGGAGACTGGTGCTACAAGGGGGGAGACTGGTGCTACAAGGGGTAGACTGGTGCTACAAGGGGGAGACTGGTGCTACAAGGGGGGAGACTGGTGCTACAAGGGGGAGACTGGTGCTACAAGGGGGGAGACTGGTGCAGAGACTGGTGCAACAAGGGGGAGACTGGTGCTACAAGGGGGGAGACTGGTGCTACAAGGGGGAGACTAGTACTACAAGGAAGAGACTGGTGCTACAAGGGGGGAGAGTAGTGCTACAAGGGGGAAACTGGTTCTACAAGGGGGAGACAGGTGCTACAAGGGGGAAACTGGTGCTACAAGGGGGAGACAGGTGCTACAAGGGGGAAACTGGTGCTACGAGGGGGAGACTGGTTCTACAAGGGGGGAGACTGGTGCTACAAGAGGGGAGACTGGTGCTACAAGGGGGAGACTGGTGCTACAAGGGGGAAACTGGTGCTACAAGGGGGAGACAGGTGCTACGAGGGGGAGACTGGTTCTACAAGGGGGGAGACTGGTGCTACAAGAGGGGAGACTGGTGCTACAAGGGGGAGACTGGTGCTACAAGGGGGAGACTGGTGCTACAAGGGGGGGAGACTGGTGCTACAAGGGGGAAACTGGTGCTACAAGGGGGGAGACTGGTGCTACAAGAGGGAGAGTGGTGCTACAAGGGGGGAGACTGGTGCTACAAGGGGGAGACTGGTGCAACAAGGGGGAGACTGGTGCTACAAGGGGGAGACTGGTGCTACGAGGGGGAGACTGGTGCTACAAGGGGGAGACTGGTGCTACAAGGGGGGAGACTGGTGCTACAAGGGGGAGACATAGAGGGGGTCTTTCCTTACTACACTGGTTTGTGAACATGGTGGTGATGGTGGAATGGGCTTCAACTTCGCGTCCAAAATTATTGCACTTATATAGCGATGTGCATGCACGTGTGTGTGTGTGGCTGCTTGTACTTGTCCGGACAGATGCTGATTTTATAGTGCTAGCCCACTGAGATACCATGCCGCAGTTTAACATGAATAAGCCACTCAGACACGGTATACTGACTCCGTGCTGACCAGTCCTTGTTTTAGCCCCTTAATGCCGAGTGCCAGACAGAGTAACAAAAAAATCCATCTTTTAACATCTTTGGGCATGATGCGGCCAGGGATCAAACCCCGGAAATTTTGCTCTCCTGGCGGATGCTCTACCACTAGACCACGGAGGCGGTCTTGTGTACATGGAATATTAAACTGTGGTAGAACAGGTCTGAACTACACTTTGTTAGTCAATCACTGGATTGTCTGGTCCAGACTCGATTATTTACTGATTGTCGTCATATAGCTTGAATATTGCTGTGTGCGGCATTAAACAACAAACAAACAAACATTTTCAAGACTTTTATAGTTGGGTTATTAGTCTGTCAATATATTATTAAATCCAGCATTTATCTTATTTATTTGTCTATAATACGCACTCGTGTGTTATATGTACCCTCAATTACAGGCAATTCTGGAAAAATATATCTGTCGTGTATAATATGCACAGACTTTTCTTTGTATCATTTCTGGTGGTAAGCATAAATTCTTTCACCAAAATTATATTCTAATAAGAGCCCCAAATTTCTAAATTTGAGTGCGCCCTGGGCGCAATGAAGCTTAAATTACGCCACCTCTGAGCTAATGAAGGAAGAACGGTCTGGAGTGAATACATACCTTCCAGCATACTGAGCGAATTCCACTTCCAGACTCATAAGGGCAACCTGCAGAAGATGAGTGAGTGAGTGAGTTGGGTTTAACGCCGCTTATTCCAGTTATATCACGGCGTGTCAGCTTAATGTGGGAGGAAAGCCCGAAGTGATGCAGGTCTCAGACGTTTACCACTTCGGTGAAACCCACGAGCACGGGTATGGTGCTGACAAACCTAGAAATATAATTGGGGCGAACCGGGATTCGAACCCACAATCATAGGTTTCTGGCGTGCCCAAGGGACGCAACTCTGCACAGCGAATCGCGGCGCCTTAGACGACTGGGCCACCCGTGCCCCCTGCAGAAGATGAAAAGGACAACAATGTATCCATAGGATTTGGATAATCAAATTAATTGAAAACCACACAGTGCATATGTTCTAATGAGTTCACTAGCCTTGTACATTTATGACGTAATGCAGACACTATGGCTGACATAAGAGACATCAACTCACTTAAACTACAGACAGATGCTGGAAATAAACTGTAGCGTTATCGCCAATTATGGTAAAACCCAGTCAATATCTGGGTTAGCTCCCCTTCGCTAATGTTTGCGTATTATCTCATCAAGTGACGTCATGAATTACTGTGTACTTGAATGGACGCCATGCTGGCTGTAACATGTACTCCTGTCAATAAAACGCATTCAAAGAACCACAGGATTAGTGTTGACATAACCCAAGTTGACCAAACTTGTTCCCAGAGCCATAAGATTGGTCTGTCACAGCTACAGAATCAACTCTTGCATACCTGCAGAGGAATGAGTGAGTGAGTTTGGTTTTACGCCGCTTTTAGCAATATTCCAGCAATATCACGGCGGGAGACACCAGAAATGGGCTTCACACATTTTACCATGTTAGGAATCGAACCCGGGTTTTCGGCGTGACGAGCAAACGCTTAAAACCACTAGGCTACCCAACCACCCCTCTGAAGAGACATGGTGGATCATTAGGGGAGTGGGACAATGCTGGGCCATCCTACCCTTACCCTAACCCTAACACAACGCACCCTATGCTAACCTAACCCTAACACAACGCACCATATGCTAACCTAACCCTAACACAACGCACCCTATGCTAACCTAACCCTAACACAACGCACCCTATGCTAACCTAACCCTAACACAACGCACCCTATGCTAAGCTAACCCTAACACAACGCACACTAAGCATCAAAGAACATGCTAGATCAGTAAAGTGTTAGTCTCTGGTGGAGCCCTGTACACAGCAAGAAATCTGTATTATTACCTACGCTGGCAAACATATCAGGGTTCATAAAAATCATGTGTGCCCTAGGTCATATCACGTCACGAGACAACAGTGTATTGTATCTGTCTTCCGGACGGCATTGTTGACGTCATTCGATTCCAATTGTGACGTGAGGTCAGAATGACGTCACATTAGAAACATCGTCATAGCTGAAGACTGTTGACGTCATTCGACAAATTGTGGTTCTACAACTTGCTGTCCTTACAGGAAAACACTAAAATTCCTTCCTGTTTGTAGACATCTTTTTCTGTAATAAATACAACATTATATTCATGTTCATGTCATACTATGTTTACGACACTCCTGTCTAAATTCTGGTATTATACCCGAATTTAGACACTCATGTCGTAAACATAGTATGACATGAACATGAATATAATATCCTCTATGCCTTTCCAAACTTACGTTTGCATAACGTCTACCGCTGCCATATTGTGTAGACTCTACCCAGTGTACCTGTTCATCATATTCTCAGTGTTTCAGACTGCAAGGCAGTCCATGACATTGCCACCTGACAAAACATATGACCCCCATTTCTGACCAATAAGGGTCCTGTGGCCATACATTTCTGAAACCTGGCCCATCAATTTCACTTGAACTGGATCACTTGCAACAGTCACACGAATGTGAAGTTTATAATAGTGCTGACAATGTGATGGATTTTGTAGCACTATAAATTAGGGTAAGGATAATATTATAGACAATACCCTACCCTAGTTTGAAAACTCTTTTGAATATACATGAGGAAATTATATATTCAAATTTCAACACCGAGTTTAAAGATACCTGTCATTAAATGTTTTGAAGTCATGTGATGTAAATAATATCCTACCCGCAAAACACAACTTCCGCAAGTTTTTGAAGTCAATTTCGTCCGATTTTAGTTGTTCTTCAAACTCTCGTAACCTGCAAAATGAATATATTCATGTCATCAAAATGATATTGTTAAATGACAAATGATAGTTTCGTTTCATCAAATGATGACCAAAAGGGGCGGGTCAGCAAACTTGTCTTACCTTGCCTTGTAGGCCATATTTCATGTTTACATGAGGGGCGCGTGCGTGTGAAACGCTTCCGGTTTGGTGGTTATCCCCCCTTAGCATTATTTGCAAACTCCAAACACCACTTTCATTTATACCCGCACATTAATAAAGTTCGCACGATAATAAAACCATTGGTATTTCACCTTTTGTCAAGATACAGCTAGTGTTCATACTAAATAGTTTCGAAGCTGGACAACTATAAATCGATTGATATTTTTCAAATTACCTTTCTGAGAGAAGAGATGATATCTAGATCTCCAACAAAGTTGTAATAGTAGACACTTCTAGGAATCTAAAAGTCTATTCTGTGGTAATCATGCAGTGAGTGGGTTGTGTTCAACGCCGCTTTTAACAGTATTCTAGTTATATCACGGTGTGTCAGCTTAATGTGGGAGAAAAGCCCGAAGTGATGCAGGTCTCAGACGTTTACCACTTTTGTGAAACCCACGAGCACGGGTATGGTGCTGACAAACCTAGAAACATAATCGGGGCGAACCGGGATTCGAATCCACGATCATAGGTTTCTGGCGTGCCCAGGGGAAGCAACTCTGCACAGCGAATTGAACACTCGATCGTCATTTGAACACTTTTGATTATCGTCGGATCATAGGTTTTCGGACATCAAACGTTTTCGGACGGCCATGGTTATCGCGATTACTCGCGTTATAACGAGGGGTGTAGCATCACACAGACATTGTAAATATTCAGATGATGGTTTGTTTTTAAGAGAAAGTTGTCTTATATAAGCGAATGATATGTTTTACAGCTGTTCGTGTGATTAGCGATAAAACTATGAATGTTTCTTAAGCGCCTGAAAACCCATAACACGTACGAGGATATACTATAACAGCGATTCTCAGTGTCTTGCTGATTTCCTAGATTATGCAGATAATATGAGCTAAAAAAATACATGTGTTGGTTTTTAACACAGATGCTCGACCTTTGAGCTTTTATATCCCTGTTTACCTTCACGTAAAGGATATCAAAATTCAATAACGACCGAATTTGTTAATATCGTACGGGAGCCGTGTGGGGAATAGCTATAGTATGCTTGTCGTAAGAGGAGACTAACGGGATCGGATGGTCAGGCTCGCTGACTTGATGCATGTCATCGTATCCCAATTGTGTGGATCTATGCTCATGATGTCAATCACTCTTATGTCTGGTCCAGACTCGATTATTTACAGACTGCCGTAATATAGCTGGAATATTGGTGAGTGCGGCGTTCAACAACAAACAAAACAAAACACAAAAGCACTATGACAAGGTATGCCCGTCTCGAATGAACCTGAATCAATTGCTCACTTGTTAATGGAATTTCAAGAACATGCCCCAGCCCGGACTCGGTTGAAACAAAGAATGGCAGCTAGGTCCACTATTTGTAGTTGATCTCCTAAAACCAAGGGACGCAGTACAAGTCCAAACTAACTCTATATCTGAAAGATGGTCTGCTACTCGAGCGTATATAAACAGAGCAGCCAAAGAAATATGATTAGTTGCTAAAAATCAAAAATCAAATTATATCAATGCGAAAACAGTCATCTCATCAATACAACTGAAAGATTACCAATACTAAACCTCACAATAGATATGTGTACCCTACTCACACTCATGAGTGCCAAAGACCGCCTCCGTGGTCTAGTGGTAGAGCGTCCGCCCGGAGAGCGGAAGGTCCGGGGTTCGATCCCCTACCGCGTCATACCAAAAGACGTTAAAAGATGGTACTTGTTGTTACCCTGTCTGGCGCTCGGCATTAAGGGGCTTAAACAAGGACTGGTCGGCTCGGAGTCAGTATACTGTGTCTGAGTGGGGTATTCATGTTAAACTGCGGCATGGTATCTCAGTGGGCACTATAAATCGGCATCAGTCCGGACTAGTACAAGCAGCCACACACACACACACACACACGTGCATGCACGTCGCTAAATAAGTGCAATAATCTTGGACGCGACGTTAAACCAAATTTCACCTCACCATGAGTGCCAAAGAGGAACAGGTCAGTCGAAATTGCTGAGACAGAAGGCGACCTCTTCACACCTTCCCGAGGCAAGGATGTTAACTGGCCATTTAAGTCCAATTTCCACAGTGGAAACAGGACTTTTCGCCCTTGCCTCGGGAAGTGACTCCTAAAACACTTATAACTACAACTCATCACGCAGAGAGGTATCATATCGCAGTAAAAGATCTGATTTTAAAGAGATTGGCGTAATATTATTAAAAGCGATATAAAATCCCCACTTTCGCTGTACAGGCGGCACACTGTTCATTGAAATATCAATCACATTCGTGTGAAATTTACATTTAATAAAAAGGTACCAACAATACTGTCTGATTCTGACATGTTTTTCACATTAAAACGTAGAAACGGTCAACAGTAAAATAATCTGAAGGTTTTATCAAAAGAGCATGTCAAATATATGAAAGACATATATAAATATATATATATACGTCTTTGCACATTTGAGGCAAACACTGAATATTTATTTACCGTGTCAGTATTTCTGACTTTGGTAACATTGATAAACTTATGGATCATACGCGCTTTTCTTGTGCCACAATGCTAAACCGTTGCGGTTATGAAACTGTGGTTAATATAGTAGAGTCGCCGCTGTGCTCACGACCCTGTTAGGAGTTGATAGTGTCGCCCGCATTATGTTTCTAATTTTAGAAGCAAAACAAGCTCCCAGAATTCCAATGGCAAAATGGCATGTTGCAATGTTGTTTAGGGTAAACGAGAGTCTGTGACGTGCGAATTTGACAACTACTGTCCTTTCTGTCGTGCCTATGAGGATTTATGTTTGTATTTTCTAAAGGTATGCATTTTTGTATAATTATGAGTGTGTCAATTTCCTGCACTATAGTGTACATACTTCTTGTTACTAACATTGACATTTGCTCGATGGTGTAGAGGTTTTCGTTTCCTTCTGAAATTTCATTTAATCATAGACTTGAAAATTATTTCTCTTCGGTCGATTCTTAGAGAGCATCATATTTTTATCTATTCATTGTCCTTTTTCTAAAACCACACCAACCAACACCAGGATCAGAGTAATTAACGTTCTCCATTGACAGCTTTGTGAACCTGGAGTTGGTTTTCAGCTGACGTCAGTTATGTCATTTCAACCAAACGATAAAGGAAGGTATATATTGAGTGGTGTTATTACAGTCAACGGATGTATACCAAGATAATAATGGTTCGCCTGTTCACGTTATTCCCTTCCTTATTTGTGTTGTTCCAGTGGAACAAATGTAAGAAATTACTCAAATTATGATTGTTAAGTGGCCTTTTAACACCGCTAACAAACATCAATACAAATAGCCTACAAATACATTTTTAATCAGTCTTTTTTCTGGCTGAGATATAGATCTTCATTCATAGATACTGATTGATTTAAATAAATACTTCCCCCTTCAACATGTTCAAGGAAATGCAGAAGCCCATAAACATGATGAAAACCTTTTTTCTATGTCATCATTAACCTGTCATTTGTCATTTGTAACAGGAAACACATTTTATTTTATGGCAATATGAATACTGTGGTCATAATACACCATACAATCAGGGATTTGTTTAGGCATTCTGCAGAGGCCAATTCTTTTGGTCCCACACCAAGAGCAGACTGACAATTACATTTACAGTTTAAGCAAATTTCCCCAATTATGATAAATAATGTCCATATTAAAGTTATTATAAATAAGACTAACATTTTTCATTGCAATAGTGACTTGAAATGACTGATAATGAGAGAAAGGGTGACAATATTTTGAATTGCATGCAGTGTTGAAATACCTCTAATCTGCTGATACAGTTTTAAATTCCACAATTAAATCCCTTACGTAAAAACTCAACTCGTGTGAAGGAGTCATATTCCGTCATCAATAGGTATGCTTGTTTGTTATTATTTGATATGAGGACACGTCCATAGGAGGTTGCATCAGGTGAGTCAGTGAGTTTGTTGTTTAACGCCGCACTCAGCAATATTCCAGCTATATGACGGTGGTCTGTAAATCATCGAGTCTGGACCAGACAATCCAGTGATTGACATCATGAGCATAGATCCACACAATTGGGATACGATGACATGCATCAACCAAGTCAGCAAGTCCTGATCCCGTTAGTCGCCTCTTACGACAAGCATAGTCACCTTTTACGGCAAGTATGGGTTGTTGAAGACCTATTCTACCCCGGATCTTCACCATGTTAACGGGTCCACTAGATATGCAAAGTACTCGAGTTCAAACATATTTAGTGTGAAGAGGCCTGTCATAGCGACCAATTTGGGACAACCTTTTTCTGAATGAACATTTAGTTCTTAGGGCTAATTACCCTGTAGTAGTGACATGTATATGTCTAGAATCACTTAATTGCCATTACTTTAAGGTGCTAATTCCCATTGTTAATCCCCTTTGTATTGTACATTGTCTGTCCGCCATCCTGAACGAGCTGTGCAACTATGTCACTGATAAATTGCTGTTGTTTATATTTATGACTTAATTCATGTCAGGTAACCTTTGATATCTAAGCCTTGGTCCAGAGATGAAAATCAAGTAGGTCTTACCCTGAGCCTAGCTAGGGTTTGGCTAGGTGCTCCTTGGCACCAACACAACAACTTCTAGCCCTATATGCTGACCTGGCACATGGTGCTTCTTATCTGTAAATCTACTTGAATAAGTAAAATTGCAAGCCATCGACTCCACGTAGTCACCTCCTATGAAGAACAGTACATCGAGAGTATGTACGAGTATGAAAATAATAATTAACAAACGTTACATGTGTCTCCAACGCATGCATCACGCATTGTTTGTCCTGTGGGACTGCCCATTTGATATTCGGGTTAGGAGTCAGGGACTGTTTTTTGTTTTTTAAAGTTTGTTCCGGAAAAAAATATTTGTCCTCGAGTTTTACTCCAAACTTAAAATGATTTGCCGAACATGCCTGATGTCCTGAAAAGAATGTGAGAAGAAATCAAATTGCTCAGTTTCTCAATTAACACTTTAAAAATGCATATTTAGAGCAGTGACCAAAAATAAATCCTGTACTCAAACACAAATTCCAGGTGCCCCCAATAGAATATTAAGTGGTGGGTTCCTAATGAAGACGAGTTACTGCATTTTAATCAGTTCAGATAACGGCCCGTGAAGATATGCTTGCCATTAAAGGCGACTATGCTTGTTGTAAGAGGCGACTAACGGTCAGGCGGGTGGTCAGGCTCGCTGACTTGGTTGATGCATGTCATCGATACCAATTGCATGGATTGATGCTCATGATGTCAATCACTGGATTGTCTGGTACAGACTCGATTACTTATAGACTGCTGTCATATAGCTGGAATATTGCTGAGTGCGGCGTTAAACAACAAACAAACAAACAGCTCAGATAACATACTGTCACATGGTCAGAACAGAGTATTTTACAATTCTGTTTTAGCTCGCCTGAACAAGCTGAACCTCTATGCCACAGTCCATGCTTACAGGATCCCTTGTGACATAACACATTGTAGCCTAATATGGATTAAGATTAAGCTATGCATAAGTTTAAATAAAACACTTATATTGTCATTAGTTGTGATATTACTTAGGCATTAAGTTAAGATCCATTACATTAGGAAATACAACTGTGGCCATCAAGTGCAGATCCAGCTTTTCTGAAAATGATGGGTGTACTTTGTCACTTGGACATGTTGGAAGTTCAGATTCAGTAATTGTTTTGAAAATCATGAATATGCTGTGAATATGTATCACAAATGAGTTTTTGTATATCCTATCACCATATCTGTTCTCATTACAATCGGGGGCACGGGTGGCCCAGTCGTCTAAGGCGCCGTGATTCGCTGTGCTGAGTTGAGTCCCTTGAGCACACCAGAAACCTATGGGGTACAAATCACTGTTCGCCCCGATTATGTTTCTAGGATAGTCAGCACCATACCCGTTCTCGTGGGTTTCACAAAAGTGGTAAAGATCTGAGACCTGTATCACTTTGGGCTTTCCTCCCACATTAAGCTGACACGCTGTGATATAACTGGAATACTGTTAAAAGCAGTGTTAAACCCAACTCACTCACTCTCATAACAATCAGATCATTACCCAACACTATACTCCCAACATATAAGGTATCTGTGTGAAGATCTGGCAACACCTCACATGGGAGGTAGCATCAGGTGAACTTGGTTATGAACCCATACATTGGAAAATATAATTTAGCTCTGGGATCGATTTCACTATATCCAAGCTGGACCAGTGCAGGTAAACATTGCAAGTACAGGTAACTTTTATATCCAGGCTGCACACAGTGCAGGTAACATTTAAGCTGTTATATAAGATGAAAGTGGAAAACTGAATTGTTTTAGAACTGCTTGCAAATCTTTTAGAATCCAGGAAACAAAACTTCATGAAAATAGTGAAATACACAGGAGCTCTGAATGCAGTGGACTTGCAGAACTAATTCTTCACAATTACTCCTTGAACAGTCACCCATGAGGTTACAATCACAACAAATAGACACTTTGAAACTTCTGTTTAAGGTTGTTTACTGGATATCAAGATGTGAAAAGCCAGGTACAGATTTCCTCAAAATACAATATTGGCACACATTCTCAAGTTATTTTCTCTTTGAATTTATTTAATATTCAAAATAACTGAAAATACAGTGTTTCAATTTATGATAAAATGGTACAGCCAATATTTTGGTGGTGCATCCTGATTATTTCACTTGGTTGCACCTGGTGCAGGTGAAATCATATCCTGTATTTGCCCCGGGGCAAGTATGAAAGTTGGAGGGTTTAATTTTAGAATGTTGAAGATGCACCATGTGTTTGTCACCTGCAGATTAAATACAAGTCATATTTATTTTGTGTACAGGGGGCAAATTTCAAGGGGTCCTTACCGGAAATGGGACTGCCTCTGTGGTCTAGTGGTAGAGTAGAGCAGAAGGGCCATTGTTAGATCCCTGTCCTCGTCATACCAAAAGAGGGGGCACGGGTGACCCAGTCGTCTAAGGCGCCGCGATTTGCTGTGCAGAGTTGCGTCCCTTGGGCAAGCGAGAAACCTATGATTGTGGGTTTGAATCCCCGTTCGCCCGATTATGTCAGCACCCGGTTTGTCAGCACCATACCCATGCTCGTGGGTTTCACCGAAGTGGTAAACGTGTAAGAACTGCATCACTTCGGGCTTTCCTCCCACATTAAGCTGAAACGTCATGATATAACTGGAATACTGTTAAAATCGGCTTTAAACCCAACATCAGTTGATAAAGTTATGTTTTTCAAAGTTTTCCTCTTTTCTCAGCTTAAGCTGTGCATATTGGAAATTAGAAATTAGGATGGGCGAGAAGAATTTGTAAGTTTGCTTGTCCTTGGGAAAGTAGGAAATTTTGGTATTTGAACACCACTGACCAATAGGGTGTCCTAGCTATCAAGGGTATATTTGTATTCTGTGGCTGTTTTCTTTTGTTATGATTGAGATGGGAAAGAAATTTAGCTGAAATGGTTTGCAAAGCTGACATCTGATTGTCTCCAGAACCATGAGGACCCATTTATCCTTCATTTAGATTTGGCAGTCTATGTTCGGTGAGTGTTCACCTGATGCAACCCACCCGTGAAGATTCTGGGGTAGAATCAATCTTCAGCAACCCATGCTTGCCGTAAAAGATGACTATGCTTGTCGTAAGAGGCGACTAAGGGGATCGGGTGGTCAGGCTCACTGACTTGGTTGATGCATGTCATCGTATCCCAATTGCGTGGATCGATGCTCATGATGTCAATCACTGGATTGCCTGGTCCAGACTTGATTATTTACAGACCGCCGTCATATAGCTGGAATATTGCTGAGTGCAGCATTAAACAACAAACTCACTGACTCACCTGATGCAACCTCCTATGGACGTGTCCTCATATCTTTAGCAGAGAAATAATGTATCGTAGTAAAATATCTTAGTTTAAAGATTTGGACAAGTGTAGATGGAGTATGGATGTCAAGTTCTCTATTAATCATCTTAGTTGTGGGATCCGTGAAGATGCGGGTTAGAATAAGTCTTCAGCAACCCATGCTTGTCGTAAGAAGCGACTAACAGGAACGGGTGGTCAGCCTCGCTGACTTGGTTGATGCTTTCATCGTGGATCGATGCTTATGACATCAATCAGTGGATTGTCTGGTCCAGACTCGATTATTTTCAGAATCACGTCATATAGTTGGAAAATTGCTGAGTTTAGGTGCTTAACAACAAACAAGACAAACAACATGAGTCGTGGGCAGTGCCTTGGTGAAGATTCTTATCCTTTTATGAAGCAATTATAATACAGTATAAACAGCAGAGGCAATGAACACTGGTCTCAGAAAGTATGACAGCTGCTTACTGAGTATAGTGTCCATCTTCAAGGCTTCGTTTTAATAGGAGAGCAGCATGTACAACCGCTTTGATGGTGTTGATGTTGTCACTGACAGCTGACTTCCTGCTTGAAGTGAATGATTGTTCTCTGTGTCCTTCATGACTGTGTTGTACAAAACTGTTTCCTCCTTGATATTGTAGATAATGACTTTCATTTCAAGGAAACTTATTGTCTTTGCAAAATTAAGTGTAAAGTACTCTCAGTGGTTTATCTTTTTATATGCTCCATTGGGATTCTGGGTAGAATTGGTCCCCAGCAACCAATGCTGATTGCAACATACGACTTTATAGATCGGTGATCAGGCTCGTTAAGTTGGGTTGTTACATACTACTAGTTTGATTTATATGATTTCAAGACGATTGATACAAGCAATACAGGCTGGGCATGAATTTCTGAGAGACAGAATAAATCCCTTATACCCCGCTTCAAAGCAAGTTAATGGAAGTCATGTGACATAGCACAAGCTAACCTCAACCTCAAGCCAATCTCAATTTTGAATTTGTGTTAATTCTTTTACAGTGTCACATTAAAACATGTCAGTAAGATAAATTTGTTGAAGCTTGATCATGAGGGGTACATGGGGTTTTATGCATCCCGAGTTAGGTTTTATATTACGTGTCCATGTGGGACAGCCTGCCTCCGGCTCGTGGTATAAAACCTAACTCAGGACACATAAATCCCCATGTACCCCTCGTGATCCTGCTTATATTATAACTTATATTATTACTAGTTTGATAGTATTTTATGACCAGTGATAACTACCAGTTGAAAATGAATCATTTCTGATAATGGGTAGGCAGATTAAACAGGAAACTTATCTTATTTACAATATGGAGCATTTGTGATTGGAATTTGATGAAACTTTATATACATGAGCTCTAGACGGTTTATGGCTGAGACTGAAGGTCAAGGTCGTTAGACTGGAAGTGATGGTCATGCTGATGACTCTGTTATTGAGGTAGCTACAGGTACAGGAATACGTCCTTCCCTGTATAGGAACAATGATGTAACTATGGTTCCCAAGCAACACATAAACTTAAAAATTGCCCAACCAATACACGTTTACAGTTTGATTTAATTATGATAAATGGTTGGTTAAGAACTCCTCTATGCAGTCTTCATCTTGCTCAACTTGTCTGAAATTTCTTATGGTCAAGTTAGAGGAGCTTGTACTACATTTGTAGTACATTTCAAGCGATATCTACATTGTCACAAGACCCGTGAAGATTCCGGGGTAGAATAGGTCTTCAGCAACCCATGCTTGCCGTAAAAGGTGACTATGCTTGTCGTAAGAGGCGACTAACGGGATCGGGTGGTCAGGCTCACTGACTTGGTTGATGCATGTCATCGATCTCAATTGCGTGGATCGATGCTCATGATATCCATCACTGGATTGTCTTGTCCAGACTTGATTATTTTACAGACCGCCGTCATATAGCTGGAATATTGCTGAGTGCCGCGTTAAACAACAAACAAACAAAACAAACAAATCATTGTCACAATGCTTTGGAGACCATTGTGACATCATTCAGGCTTGTACACTGAAAAGTGTTTTAACAGACTGTCTGTGCCATTTGAAAAAAAGTATTTTAAAATTCAATGTTGGACCATTTTACATTCAACCTTAGTTACGTTATTGACTCACTTTAATTGAATTAACCCACTCCCACACACCTGTACACACAGCTGTAGGATTTCAGGCAGATATGGCATGTGATGTCAGCATGTGGTCCTGGTCACAGATCACAAATCAGGTGAAGGTATGCAACATTGGTAGCGGAGAATATTTGGATGAGTGACTGTATTTGGCGGTTTGACTCTTGAGAGTTTTGGGGGGTTAGGACCTGCCCCAGGCTGAACCACATGTGGTTTCTCCTTTGGCAAGTGACTTTGTGTAAAGTATGCCTCTGTTCACGCAGTAGTGAATGGGTACCAGGTAGTATGCCTCGCAGGCAGCATGGGTTGTATACTCCCCAGGGAGATGAGAATCTGATATTTTACGAGGGTAACGATAATGTGGCACCATGAGCAAAGACTTGGTAAATGGAATTTGGTGCATTATAAACTAGTTATTTATACTAGTTGTTCAATCAACCACTGTCTCAAAAACAAACAATTGTTTACAGGCAGCCATATTAAAACTGAAATATTTCAGAATGTTCGGTGTTCCCGCCGACTTTTGAAACTGACAGTTCTGGTGGACTGGCAACTCTAATAATTACTAGTCCCCTCCTAGTTATTGTCAGTCCCAACTTTATACAATTAAAAAACGTACAAAAATACCTGCTTTTAGTTCTTTCAACACCTTGTTCAGTTCACCTCTGAAGTAACTGATCTACACATCATTCACACAAAGTTCACAATTTTCTCTTTTTTATTGAAAGTTTGAGACAAAGTTACTTCCAATATATATTTAAGCTTGAAGCAAAGTGAAATATTATTCCCTTGCACTAAAAAGAAACAAGGGGAAACCCTGTTGGTAACAGACAAGCTTACTTTTTTCTAAAAATATTCGTATATGAATATCACTGATGTTTTGTTCAACAACAAAGATTTATAAGGTACTTTATTTGCCATTACACAGGGACTGACAGTCACATGAATAACCAGTCCAAGCCTAATTTTACTGGTAAAAAACTGGTAATTTCCGGTAAATGGGAACACTGGGTGTTGAACAACATTCACTCAATTAGTGTTACATATCTACATTTAAACTATATTGTCTTTTCAGAGCTGTGACTTGTCGATGGCAGAAGATCAGGTGATCTGCTACTATGGTTTCCAGCATCTGCCCGATGACCTACTGCTCAAAATCTTCTCCAACCTGCCTGTGGCAGACCTAGCTAGGGCGTCCTACACGTGCCAGCGCTGGTTCCAGGTCTCGCTAGATGACCTGCTATGGAAGGGGCTCTTCTACCATCACTGGCACATAGCGCCATCTGTTCCCATGGCGCCAGGGAAACACTCTTGGAGGCAGGAGTTCAAGCGCCTGTATTACTACACCCCAGTGTTAGAGAGTGAAAACATAGGAAAGCATAAGGACCAAGTGTTACACGTTAGCTTCTCGCATAATGGTCAGCTGTTTGCAACATGCTCCAAAGACGGAACTGTCAAGGTATCAGTGATCGTTGTTGTTTTCAGATTTATAGTATCTGGGCTTTGTCCCTGTTTACCTAAATAACAATTAGAGCAAGACTTAACTAAGCAGAGTTCTTTACCTTGAGTGTTCCAGGATCTACTGTTGTTTGGTTTGAATCCCAATTTATCATCCAAAACTGAAAGCATATGGATCCAGGGTATTTATCATAATTTCTTACCAATATGGAAAGTTGGGTAGAGGGTATTAAATCTTCTGTAAAGCTCTTGGGAATTACAGTCTTTTTATAAATAACTCAGCTTTTCATTGGTTGCCGATACTACTTTTCATTCGTTCATTCTTTCAGTCTGTCATCCACATGTTGATATGGAATGAGACGTCACATCATTCTGTATTCTGATTCTGAATAAATAACTGCAACATCCACACATCCATTATCCAATGGTGGTCTGCTTGTCTGGCATCAACTTGTTTGAAAACTTCAAAATTGGCTTACTGAGCCACTGTAAGCTTCCGTCAACACGAGTGACCCACCCGAACTGATAGTCAACAGAGCTACAGATAAGCAGCGTATTTGCGTCAAATAACTTTCAATTAACTTGCGTACAGAAATGCATACATTAAATGAAAAACTCAAATGTATAAGAACAACACCCGTAAATACCCAATAAAGCTTTTCCAGCATGCATACAAAGGAGCTTATTTCCAAAACACAATTACAAGTTAATTTACTTTCCGAGTCAAGCCTATATATTTAGAACAGTTATATAGATCTAAAGCATTTTTTCATTTTTTTAAATCTCAAAATGTTCACTAATTTGGGGTAAAACCCAATAGAGTGATGAATAGATGAGTGAAAAAGTATTGGTTACCCAATGAAAAATGTAATAACCCAATTAGAATGGAAACCCTGGAGTAAAAACTCAATTGCTCAAAAAGTTATCTGGAGCTCTGGGTCAACATGTTCAATGATCAGTCAATGATCAGTCAACATGGTCTGTAAGCCATCTGAACTGAAGAAAATTCTAATATTTTATGGATTGATTCAAATCGATGATGATGAGGAAGCTTACTGAGTATCGTATCATTAAGTTTGATACTGATGTCGCAGTGTACTGAACCCTTTCAGTTTTGTTATCTGAACATATGACATTTTTACGCTGATTTTAGCATTATTCCAATGATATCATTATAACAGCAGTAGACACCAGTAGATGATTCACACATGATCCCCTGTAAGGAACACAACCGGGACTTCCCCCAGACCTGTCAACACTTGCTCCATTAGGCTACCTGACCACCCTCTGAAAATTAAGATTAGCGTGGACTCTAAAACTGATTCTGTTTAAGGTGTGGACGTCCAGTTACCCAGCGACTCTCAAGTTTGAACACGACATGAAGGAATTCACCTGGAAGTACACGCAGTTCTCCAACTTTAACGAGTCCGACACTCTCCTCCTTGTGTCTGGGGTACACTTTGGTAACATGAGCACATCGGGGGAGATTGCCGTCTTCAGCTTGACACGTAAGACTCAGCAGTGAATAATCAGTTGCTATGGTGACAAACCTGGTTAAATTATTGACAAACTTAGTTACCAATTAACCATGTTAATGTTCTACAAAAAAATATTTTACTTGGCCTAGAAAGTATTATAAGGCTTAAAAAAAAAATCTTGGCTCTCAGGCACCACCCACATCATCATTAAGTCAGCCGCATGTTTCGTTTTTATTTCCATTATAAAAATAATAAATAAAAATCTTTATACTTAAAAACAATGCGATCCAATATAGCGCACAGTTACTTCCCTTTACATGTGCACTGCTTTACTGTGCATCTTGTGTTACAGTAATGGCACCGATAGGAGTTTGTATGCTTGTTTAAGTAAGGAGGCGCTTTCCCAGGTTGATGGTACACTGTTTTTTTGGTTACATACAAACAAACAAACAAAACCACCACCTGCCCACACTATGTTTTAAGTCATTGCCTGAGAACCACTTCTTTCATTTTTTTAAGCCTAACCTGAAGCCATTGGCATATTCAGCATGTTAACGAATATTGTCTTCAACATCTTTGTATTTACTTAAAACTTTGATAGATATGAGAACAAGTACGATAAATGTCAATCTTCTTTGTTTTTCTCTCATTTTAAATAAGAATTACCATATTTAGATAAAAAAATGACCTTATTTGCTAAAATATCTTCTATTAATATTCTCATAAAAAATATTTCTAACATTTTTACTAGTCCTGTCTCACCTATTACATTTTGGTCTTGGTGTTTCAAGCTGCAAATAGTTTTGTTCCCAAGCAAAGTTTCTACCTCTTGTTTAAAAAAAGGGATTAAATGCAATATGAAAGACAGAATATATAAGCATTAAATATTAAATTTGATGTAAAATTGACAGTTTGTGAAACCATATGTTCATGTTGTAGAACAAGGCACTAAGAACTTAGAACTGACACTAAGGTAATGGGAATTAAGCCATATTTGTATGGATATAATCACTCATTACTTTTTGATTGCTCTTTCAGAAAACTTTGAACTACAGTGTCGTGTGATAAACAAACCATATGACGTGTTTGGGACGTGGTACGATGACACACACTTGTTGTCGGGGAACCTGCACTGGACGCGGCAACTCAACTCATGTTCAGCTCTGTGGCTCAATAAGGTTAGGCCTGTCATAGTAGTTGTAAACTAAATACTGTATTTGACATAATAAGCGCCCCCTCTCTCATAAGCACCACTGCGATATTTGCTGATATATTGGCTAGTGAACAATCCCCATTAGCACCCCTTCCAATTGGTCAATGTACATAAAACTTATTTATTCGCGTATAATACGCACTCGTGTGTTATATGCACCCTTAATTATGGACAATTAAATTCTGGAAAAATATATCTGTCGTATATAAACATTTCAGGCTGTCAGCATAAACCACGAAATATATCTTTCAACTCTGTTTTTTTCCACCAAAATAATATTCTAATAAGAGCCCCCTATTTCTAATTTTGAGAGCGCCCTGGGCACTTATTATGTCGAATACAGTACGTATTTTTAATGATTTTATGCCATTAATAAATACTTGAAACGAGCTTCTGCTTTGTCTCCTAACAAGCTGAAAAATGTTGTTAGTCGACAGGACTCATATGAAAACCATGTAGGGTTGATAAATTAGTTTTCATAAAAATCAAGTCAGACGTGCAATTGTTAAACTACATTCAGAAAACAATTATTTTAGACTTACATTTTGTCTAGTGTTGAAAAAATCTCAACCTTTACAAGGTGTATGAAAATGGTTACATATGAGATCTATCTGGTCCATGGGACCTCCTTGGTCTAGTGGATAGAGTGTCTGCCCGGAACGGGGAAGGTCAGGGGTTTGATCCCTGGCCTTGTCATACCCAAGAACGCTAAAATATGGTACTTGTTGTTACACTGTCTGGCACTCAGCATTAAGGGGCTAAAACAAGGACTGGTTGGCTTAGAGTCAGTATTCTGAAGAGTTATACTACGGCATAAACTATAAAATCAGCATTAGGCCAGACTACTACAAATGCACACAGACAGACCGACAGACACACAAACAGACAGACACACACACACACCAATGTGTCGCTATTAATGTGCAATAATCTTGAGCGCGATGTCACCTGCCTCACCTCACCAAGTCAGGTATAATTTTGGGAATCCGAGGCTGGCAACATGTGGCCACTGTCAGTTGATGTCCATGAATGATCTGAATTCATATCACTGCACATGCTCTACTCTTTAGTCCATTAATAAAGGAGGATTTCAATGTTAGATTGAAGAAAATCAACCCTTAACACCCCTGAACTTTGAATTTAATATATACCAGAGTACAAATATTAGCTACATGCAGGACTTGCAGTATGACCGATCACAATTTGTATGCTTATAGGAAGGAATATGTTTGTGCTCCGTAACCATGGTAACACCATGCCGACCCTTCTTGGCGAAACTGTCCAACTGGCATGTGTGTTTATCTTACAGGCATCCCAGTCTATTGAATCGGAACGTGAGTCGGTTGTGATGAGATTGTTCCGCTTCCTAAACACAAACGCAAGCTCCATTCGGACAATCATGATATCCAAAAATCTCACTGACTCCAAACTCGACATGGCAGTGAATGCAGAGAAACCTGCCCAGGAGACTGTGTGGGGGAAGGCAGACATGAATGGTGAAAGTCAGACGTGTGTCAAAGTGATGGAAAACTCTGTACATTCTGTGACTTCACAAACAGGAAGCCGACAAGACATAGGCAATCAGATAAATGGCCGGATAATCTACAGGCCTGAGTATTGGGAAGCGGAGGAGGTGATGAATCACTCCATGGAGTGTTCTCTGCGCCAGGTGGAGATCGAGGCGGCGCTTCCATGTGCCTGCTGCGACAGCGATGACGACATGTCTCCTCAGCCAAACAACCAGTTTTACGGTTTCCCCGACAACTGTCGTCTTCCAACCAACAATACCTCTGAAAAGCACAATACCATCAAACAGAAAGTGAGTGAACAGTGTGATAAACTCCTTATATTCACCATGGGTTCCCTGACGTACACTCCGCACCAGATCGGCATCAAGAGGATTGATTCGTTGAAAGGAGACAGCACTGTTGGACAGTCTCAGTGCGGGGATGGTGGTGTGCGCTTCCTCTTGCCTGATGTTGACGAAAACAACCATGGAGTGGATCGTCCGTATGACAGCGTGGATGAAATATTCGATATGGATGGACACATAATCGGCATGAGTCTGTCTCCTGATCACAGGTGGGTGGAGAGACAACTTCATAAACATGTTTTTGTCTTTTATCCTTAAAATTAATCTCCCAGAATATCGTCTCCTTTCAACATATCCAGGGACATTTTAAGCTCTGTGGTATGTTATAACTCTGTCTGCTGTAAGCAGGGTACAGTATGGTCTTTAAACAAACTTGAAAGTGGACTCCATCAAAACAGGGTTTGTTAAATGTCAAATAAAATCTTCAGCAATTTTAATGTGGTATAGTTATTATGATAATGATGGTGGCCTCCATAGCAGACATTAAAACAGGGTATGTTAAATATCAAATAAAAAAATGTTTTTTTATGTGGGATGGTGATGATAATGATTCCGATTATGGTGATTCTGATTCTGATTCTGATGATGATGGTGATGATGATGATGGTGGTGGTTGTGGCCTCCATAGCACTAATAAAAACAGGGCTATGTTAAATATCAAATAAAATCTTCAGCGTTTTTTTATGTGGGATATTTATTATTATGAAGGCCTCCATAGCATTCATAAAACAGGATATGTAAGGATCAAATAAAAAAATGTTTTAGATTTGGCATGGTGTTGATGATGATTCTGATGATGATGAAATGACCTTTCTTAAGTGCAAGATTCAATCCAACAGAGGGGCATGCACAAATTATCCAGATAAGTTAATCAGTGTGCATTCAACTGTATTCTCAGCTCCCTGGAGTGTATACTTCATCCTCTACATATTTGTGACCATGATGTTACCATGACAACCGTGTTGTAGATACCTGTATGTGAACAGTCGACCGTGGCCGCCGGGCTATGAGATCTGCAACCCACTACAACCACCCCCGATAGCCCAGGAGATCGACGTCCACGTCATTGACCTGTGTAAGATGAAGGAGGTGGGCACCATGTTGAGGTCTCACAAAGCCTTCACCCCCAACGACGAGTGTTTCTTTATCTTTCTCGATGTCTGTGAGGAGTATGTTGCCAGGTAGGTCTCAGCCTTTCAGAGGGTCTGCACAAACGTGAACAGTGCTTCAACATGATCTATAACAAATGTTGTATTTGGGATAACGCTTTGTTAGTAAAGTAGTGATTCTCATACTTTTGTGTGCTGGTATGGTGCTGACAAACCTAGAAACATAATCGGGGCGAACCTGGATTCGAATCCACAATCATAGGTTTTTTGTGTGCCCAAGGGACGTAGCTCTGCTCACCGAATTGCGGCGCCTTAGATGAGTGGGCCCCCTGTACCCCCTCATAGCGTTCGGCCATGGGAGCCGTGACAAATTACACTTGTCAGAAAGGTACACAAAGTATGTGATCTAGACTACCAATTGTCTGACTTTTATGTTTGTGAAAGTATCAGTGGCTGAGTGGGTTAGATCATTGGCGATTAGGTGCCTCACTCTGGCAGTGTGGGTTCAAATCCCGGACAGGGCGCAACCCAAAAAAGTATGATAATCTGTACTTTACTAGCAAAGTGTAATCCCAAATATAACGTTTGTTAATTTGACCACTTTCTAAATATTTTCTCAATATATTCTTTGTTGTAAGAAAATATTTAAATATGACAGTTCTTGAAAGGTGATTTTCCCACTGTGTTAACATAAAGGCTTAAATGATTCAGTGATGTGCTGTGATAGTAAACTCCTGTGATAAGTGATATGTGATTTCCAAACTCTTGGGGCCATCATGACTTGTCTGCTCTGAAGAGTGAGGAGTATTTTGTAGAGGTCCATGTCCTAATTATCAATCTGGGTTGCCAAAATTTATCACAGCTGTATTGGAGGGGCCATGAAAACTGGTTGTCATTTAGAAATGTTAGATGTATTGTATATTTCTTTAATGACCAACTTTATACAAATGTGCATGTTTTTATCATCATCTGTTGCAGACACCCAAAATAGATGAGATAAATTTCATATATTGTCAGACAAATCAAGTCAGTTTCATCCTTGGTAATTTGAGATCTTTGAATATTATTTCAGTGGAGCTGAAGACAAACATGGCTACATCTGGGATCGCCACTACGGTATCTGCCTTCATCGTTTTCCGCACAGCGACGTTGTCAACTGTGTTGCTTTCAACCCTGTTGATTCAGAAGTACTTATCACTGTCAGTGACGACAACACCATCAAGATATGGAGATCTAAAAACCAAGAAAAACAGATAAAATCCTCAAAGTCCTGATGTCGAACTGATTTTATTTTCGTTCTATTGTTATAATATTAGACCATGGGGAGATAATCCCTGCAATGTGTATGTCTGGATTATCTCCCCTTTTGGTGTTTTAATGAGCTATTGTCAGAGAGCATTAGTTTACTCCACACTTGTTGATGTACTGCTATGTCTTTGTAAATTAGTTTCACACTGATTCACAATTATTGACAAGCCTCAGTTTCCAGTGGCTTGTTGTCCCCTTTGGTCTCACTACGCAGAGAGGAACCCATTTGCAATGTCGACATCTATTCATCTTTGGTTTGAATTTTAATGCAAGGTTTGATCTGAGTACGGTTCTTGGTCTGTCGACAGGTGAAGATTCAGGGTTGAATAGGTCTTCAGCTACCCATGCTTGCCATAAAAGGCAACTATGCTTGTCGTAAGGCGACTTACGGGATCGGGTGGTCAGACTCACTGACTTGGGTGATGCATGTCACCCAATTGCGTGGATCGATGCTTATGGTGTCAGTCACTGGATTGTCTGGTCCAGACTCGATTATGTACAGACCGCCATCATATATCTGGAATATTGTTGAGTGCAGCATTAAACAACAAACAAACATCTTGGTCTGTCAGCACCACATCCGTGCTTGTTGGCTCCCCTAGTGGTAAACTTCTTGGACCGGCATCACTTTGGGCTTTTCTTCCTCTTTAAGCTGACATGCTGTGATATAACTGAAATACTGTTGTAGTCAGTGTTAAATCCAACTAACTCACTCACTGTCTCTACTGACAATATATTTCACTGGTGAATATTTTGTAGTGTCAACTAAATTTGTTCCTCAAGTTGAAGACATCTTCCTGAGGCAAGGGATTCAACTGACTACAAAAGTACAGTTTCCACCCTTGCCGAAATAGGCTGGAATTCCTGGGCTCAATCATAGCGCCGCCAGTAGCTATTACGAGTTATGTCCTTAATATGGCTCTCCTATGTACAAATCAGATTCCACCTAACATATCACTTGCATTTGTTTCAAACAAAATGGCGGTGCCCAGTCAAGACGATCTGATCGATAATAAAGATCTTTATTGTGATAAAACGGGTCTTACATCGCAAAGTGCATCAAATCACGCGAGCACCTTAATTAAAAACATGAAAAGTTTAGGTAAATATCTGTTGACAACAAGTTGGCAGTGCACATGCTTTGCAAATCCTGCAATCGACCAAAATCTGCATAACAGTTTACGAACAGGATTTAGATTTAGTTGCGCGATTTTGATTGGACTATGCAAAGACTCGTTACTCCAGCCAAAATGTTACTCCATAATACCAGCCTAGTTAGGCAAGGGTGGAAACTGGACTTTTATAGTCAGTTCACTCACTTGCCTCGGGAAGATGGCTGAAGATGACATGTGTTGATTGTGACATCTACAAAGGTGCTGTCAGCATTTGTCTGATCTCAGTATCAAATAGCCAGTATGGTGTAAACATAGTAGTCAAGTTACATGTAAGTTGCAATCAACCTTAACAAGACTGTTCAAGTTTTAGAGATTTTCTACAAGTTGTGAGATACAAAATATCAGATTTAGATTATAATGACTAAAGAATTCAGAAACAACAAAATTGCTGTGTAGATTGACAGTACTTGTGTATCGTACAGTGTGCTATCCTTTAGTCATCACATTGTATCATTATGTCCCTGTGCTGCTTTGGTCGGAGGGTATGTTGTTAAATGACTTGAGAAGAAAAAGGTATTGATAAATTTATTGTCGGTGTTCAACACAAAAATATTTTGAAAACATATCTTTTAAAGTGATCTCTCAAAGTAATGTTCTTTTGATAAAATACATTTAACAGACAAAAGTCAAGGGTTTCAAGCTGAAGGTATTTTTCCACTGGAATGAGCTTACAATACCTAGTAAAAGAAACTGGTTTTATTCCACAGTTTATGAACTTGTTTGTAGATCTGGGAACCACTTAGCTGGAGACAAAGGCCAAGGTTGCCATACAGTAGACAGAATGCTCCCCAGGCAACTGCTGATACAAATGTGATAAGATGTAATATTATTTCAAGTCAGATAAGTTTAGGGTTTGGGCTAAGACCCAAGTGTAATCTCAAGTGACTAGTTTCGAGCCTAGGGGCTCTCATCAGACTCCATGATTGTGAGTGCTGTCAACAGCAACAGTAGCCATACAACAGGCAAAAACTATATATGCCAAACACACTTTACCTGTTAAAGTTGGAACATAATCTATCTTTTAACCTGCACCTAATGTGGTAAACAATACGTAGGTGAAAAAACCCGACCCTTCTGCATTAGACTCAAAGAACACTTTGCCGACATCAACCACCAAAGGGACAAACCTGTCACCAAACACTTTAATTCTGCAGGACACTCAACCAGAGACCTACACTATCAAATCATACAACAGCTTAAAACAGACACTGAGTCAGACCAGAGCACGGCTAGACGCCGATCCATTGAACTTAAATGGATTTTAGATCTGAAAACTATCCACCCACAAGGCATGACTGACAAGATCTAATCCTGGAATTCCCCCACCAGTCTTTGCAAATTTTGTGGTGGAATATCTGTTTATTTTCATTCACATTCGATATGTACAGCATTTGAAAGAGAAAGAAAATGTTATGTGTAACTTTCAATTTGCTCCCAATCATTAATCAGCGTCAAGCTAAGCTTGTCTGTCTTACCAGTGGGGTTTGTTGTTTTCAAATAAAAGATTGTGTGTAACCAAAAAAATAGTTGTGTACAATCGACCTGGGAAAGGGCCTCCCTACATAAATGTATTCCTTCATGAGGAATACTTTATTTGACTACTATTGGAATATTTAAGGTTTTGTTTTGGAGGGGGGGGGGGGGGGTAAAAATGGGGGGAGGGAAAGAAACGTCCGCAGAACTTTGTGATGATACGGGCGGTGCCTGAGAATCTTTTTTTAGCCATGTATACTCTTTTCCAATCACCACTATTAAGTCATGAATCACGATTTTTCCTCCTACAATTTTGCAACTGAATGTTGTTGATACTTCTCCTTCTGTCCTGGTGGTAATGGATCAGGGACAGTCATAGAACTGTTGAAAATGTCAGGACATATTCATTTAGAACAACTTTTGAACAAATTCTTTTTTTAAATTGTTTACCAATATCATATGTATTGCAATACAGTTTTTCTATGTATATAGCATGTTATTGTGACTGAAATGAGGCTAAGAGGAAACACGTCAGCAAGATCATGAAGATGTCACTCAAGTGTGAAGTTATCCAATGAGGTGAGCTTCAGTACCCATAGAGTCATTAAGAGTTATTGTTAGTTCTTATTTTGGATCACAGTGTTGTTGGTTACCAGTCAATGACACTGCCGGTAGAGGCTCTCTTGCGTCTTGAGTCTGAGTTGAACTTTCATGTAATGCAATGGTAGTGTAGTGGTTAACAGGTTAACTTATCATAACGATGGCCTGGGTTTGATTCCCTTCATAGTACTATGTATAAAGCCCATTTCTGGTTTCCCCTGCCATGATCTTGCTGGAATATTGTTAAAAGCAGTGTAAATCCTTACTCACTCACTCATGTTATGCTGGACGTGATGTAAGCATCTCTTCAAATGTTACCAACAATGTTGTGATCAAAATTAGATTTGATTAGGGGAAAAATCTAGTGGATTTTCAAGTAAGAGGTTTCAAACATAGATTTGATTCCTGTAAATTTCATTTGAAACCAAAGATATTGTGTGAGGCTTGTTCCATGTGTTTTCTTCTATACTACTCAAAAGAAGTTATAGAACAAACAATCTTTCATTTGACTATTGTTAATCTAACAATAGTTTTAAAAAACCATTTGGTGTTTTTTAACTTCTTTTGCGTTGTATATATTGCCACAGTTACTAACAATAATCTAGGAACTGCAAGACAGTTTTTCACAACACTAGGTAGTAGAAGTATGTGAATTTGCTTTCTGGTCGTCTTTGAGAAGTCATAGGCGGATCCAGAGGGGTCCGGACTCTCCCCCTCCCCCTTCTTTTGTTTAAAGCTAAATGTAGTATGTTGTAGACAACTTGCTCCCACCCACCCACTGAGAGAGGATTTTCTTACTGGACCCCTTCCTTTTAAAAATGCTGGTTTTCCCTCTTGGAAGTGCTTTCAAAGAAATGTTTTCTTCTACTGTGATGGCAAAATAATGGTCGGTTGTAGATTTGATACCGCTGGCGGACCAATCAAAATTCTGGTTTCTAAAAGGTCATATTAACATGTAAATTATTCCTCCTTTAGGTGGGTCTGCCATTGTTTTACCAGCCAGGAGCTGTTTGAATGATGTATCAGTTCCATGTCCTATGTTACCCTTGAAGCCACACCCTCTGACCTCTGACCTCTAGTAGTGGGGTCCCCTGCCGTGATATTGCTGGAATATTGCTAAAAGCGGCGTAAAACCATAACACTCACTCACTCTAGTAGTGGGATGATACACAGATGGACCGCAATGTTTTACTTCTCACTACAAGTATACATCACTGTCGCACACTAAGTGACAAATACTGATTCTTGCAGAGTTGCGTCCCTTGGGCACGCCAGAATCCTATGATTGTGGGTTTGAATCCTGGTTCACCCCGATTATGTTTCCAGGTTTTTCAGCACCATACCCGTGCTCGTGGGTTTCACCGAAGTGGTAAACGTCTGAGACCTGCATCACTTCGGGCTTTCCTTCCACATTAAGCTGACACGCCGTGATATAACTGGAATACTGTTAAAATCGGCGTTAAACCCAACTCACTCACTAACGCACTTACATTAATATATTTTCTTTGATAACTGTTACACCAAATCCTATTTACAGGCCGTTATACAGCTGGGCCCTGTTCCTCGAAGCGATCTTAGCTCTACGATGATCGTAAGCCTATGTCAAAGTATGGGACTTATGATCACCTTAGTGCTAAGATCGCTTTGAGGAACAGGGCCCTGGTATATTGCTGAGTGCAGCATTAAACATTAAACAAACAATCAAGTCTGACTGACACAATG